TTTTTTTTTTTTCCCCCCGCCACTTGGGGCGGCAAAAACCCTGGAGCTGGTCCTGGTATAACTACACGGCTCAGGGGTGTGAAAAATTCACACCCCCTGAGCAACAGTTAAACCGACCTAACCCCTGGTGTAGACAGCACTCGGGTCAACAGGAAAATTCTCCCATCAACCTGATTACCACCTACCAGGGAGGTGAAGAACCTCTCCTGTCAGTGTAGGTAGTCATCGCTGAAGTGCTACAGCAGTGCAGCATTTTAAGTGTAGGCAAGCCCTAAGTTTTACAACGCTACTTCTGGAGACAGGTGCATTGGGTTATCTAGGCTCCTTACTTACATTTAGCTTGTTAATGGAGGGTTCAAAGGAAAAAATATCTGAGGATGACTGGACTTCAGAGGTGTGTAATTTAGAGAGGAAACCAGTTTGTTTCTCTTTCCCCTTCCCCCCACCATATTGACCATACAGTCTAGACAGAACAACATAGACTTTGGAAACTGTATCCTTGAGACCTATGAGTGGCTGAGTATGTCTAGAACTGGCGGAAGTGTGTGTGGGGGGTGGTGGTGGTTTGTCGTTTTTGTTTTTTCATCCAAAATTAGCTTTTCATTAAACAAATCATCATGGAAAAATTTCACTCTTATGAAATTTTCTGGGCTTTGCAACAAAAAGAATAACAAGGGTTTTTACTGAGAACCATTTTTTTGTTTTGTTTTAGGTTTGGTTTATCAATTTTTAAATGTAAATGAGACTACTTTTTTCAATTCCAACAAAACTATTGTTTGTTTTTCTTTTTTGACCAACTCTAATCATGATCTTGCCATCCTTCTTCTCTTAGCTAAGCTAAGCATGTTCCACACCTGTCTCAAAACCATTCTTGTTTTAACTCCCACTAACACTGCCCATCTGTTCTGTGACATCTATTTTTTTTTTTTTTAATAAAGGATGTGGGTGTTCAGGGCTGGTCACTTCCTGTGACTTACACAGGAGATTTACCCAAACTAAGAACTGGTCAGATCTCTGCTATGATCCAGCATTTAACAAAGAGAGTGTGAAATGATGCTTTCCACACAAGTGACTACGTACATTTTTAGATGCATGTCAAACTCTAAAGTAGACAGCATGTGGTCAGGTTTATAGATTATATTATGTCTTCTGACTAGAAGACATCCTAGAAATATGACAATCATTTAATTCTTTTGTTTGGTCCTTAAATTGAAGCTATTGCAATATAGAAACAGTTTTACTCAAGAGCTGCCTCAGAAAGGAACAAGCATACTGAACTGTGGTTACCTCTTTCACAATAGCTGTTGCAAGTCATTATTCAAAGAACAAGGATTAAGTTAGTAATACAGCTAACTACTTTAATCTTGTGCCCCTTTCTCTTGAAATCTAAAAAAACAAAGAAAAAATCGGGTCACTCTTCAGACAGGCTTTATTTGCTAGATACATGTTTCTGCCTGATGCATTAATTTTTTTATCATTTTGTAAGAGTACATGTTCATAACTGCAACTCCTGTTAACACTAATGGAGTTCTATGAGTGATCTTCTCTTCAGTATACTTATGAAACACCTAGTATTTGTCTAAACTCCTTTTAGGGCTGTCCAGAGCTAGATAACTATGCACAGCTCTCCTCCCAATACAGTTCCCCCTTATTAATTTACAGGAGTAGTTTCCTGGCCTAAGTTTCTGTGAAACAAAACTATTGCTGTTTCCTGGATATTTGGGACAAGGGACTTGTTACGGAAGATTTTAAAATGGCACTAGGTATGCTGCTGTCATGCTTCCGTAGCCTCCACTGTGGTCCAGCTAATTCCTTACCTTGCACCTCATTATTGAAGACGTTCTGTATCAGCCTGTCTCTTCAGGAAGAGAAAACAGGGGTACCACTGTATATATTTTGTCTTCCTAGGTCCTGTTCAGGAATCTTTTTTTCTCATACCTCCTGAAGAACATCTGTAAACTTCCTCTTCTAAACCCTTCTATCAAAGAAGGAACAGAGTGGTGAATTAGGAATAGGCTGCTACTTCTGTTTAGGATACCAGATACAGGCTACTAAAACTTCTCTTGAGCTCCCTAAGTACTCAACAGATCAGAGAAGTTTGCACTCTAAAGGTGACAGATGCCATGTTTACTTCAAAGTAAAATGTCCTAGATCTTGAAGGACAGGAGTGACTTGTGAACATCTAGTCTAGCCTTCTGCACAGGGCCGGCACCAGCTTAACAAGCAGGTGCTTGGGGCGGCCAACGGAGAGGGGCGGCACCTGCAGCAATTCAGGGGCGGCAGGTACCTCACTCCCTCTAGGAGCGAAGGACCTGCTGCTGAACTGCCGCCGCCGATGGGGGTTTTTTTTTTTTTTTTTGGCTTGGGGCGGCAGAAATGCTGGAGCCGGCCCTGTTTGTGCATAGCAAAAGCCATAGAATTTAATTCAATAATTCCTGCAACATTTTTCTCTGTACAGAAAGAGACCAATATAGAGTCCAATAACTTGTGGTTGAACTAGATCATATCAAGTAGCAAGACATCTGATCTACTTAAAGACCCAAAGTGATGGAGAATTTACCACATCCCTTAGTAAGCTGTTCAGTGGCTTATTATCCTTGCTGTTTAAAAAATTGCATCTTCAAATTTTAATATATTTTTAAATAACTTCAGCTTCTGCCATTGGTTCTGAATTGCCTTTGATATTAAAGAGTTCTAATCTAGCAGATCTCTCCCTTGTCTATGTACTAATAGACCATGGTTTGTTTTCAACTTGTTAATGTCCATCACTGCTCTTAGCTTTATTTAAGTATTGTATGTTTTAACTGTTGCAAGAATGCCAACATGAAAGACAGCCCTTATAGCCTCAAATTATAACCTATAGTAGTAGCATGCAAAAAAAAAATCTATATCTATCATGTGCATCCTATCTGCACTTACCCAAACTACCCGAGAAGAAGGGGTGGGAGGGAGATGGGGTTAGCATACTGGACTTTGGCAGACCAAGCTAGGGAGTTTAGTTCAAACTTCTTGGAAAATAGGCACACACATCTCTCCTCTCACTCCAGTTCAAATGGGAGCTAAGAGGGTGCACCTTGTCAGCGCCACTGATTGACATCTCAGAAGAGCAGTGGTCTCAACCAATCATCTCAAACCGTCTAGGTTAGAATTCACGCTATAAATTCCACCCCAGAAACTAACAGGCAGCCAGTACAGATCTCAGAGCACATGTTACATCCTCTTTTAAAACATTTCCACTATATCCATTGTTATCAATGAACAGTTGGTGAAACAGGAAGATAGCCTAAAAGGAACAACCGTAGACACTCGTTAGTAGCACCATATCGGTGCCCTTTTCTATGTTGCTCCTAAGCAGCTATTGCTGTTTTGGGAGTGTCGTCTGACCAAAGGCAGCCTGCTTCTTCTGATACGTCAAACAGCTACAGTATGTGCTGACAATCTAGAATTGTAACAACTTGAAGTATGTTTATTATTGCTGCTACAGTATTACATTAGTATAGGTACTGCATATTTTACACCTGGGTTCTGTTCTGCATTCGTAGCCTACTACTATACTGTATCAAGAAAGTGGTACTGAGTGATTATAAAAGTATCTAGTTTTTATTTTTATGTTAAGAAAAAAATCAACATCAACCATGACAACAAACACAACCTCTTGCTCTTATTTGTAAACCCTTTTTGTACTCCCATTTAATGGTAATTCTTTGTATGCACTGTAAATTGCCCTGGATAAGGGCATCTGCTAAGCAAATAATAATGTAATTACCTAAATTAAAATAGTATTCCACATCAGTGTATTCTATTTATAGAGTATCAACTTCTAAATTAATTAGAAATGGATAAACTCACTCATTGTGGATGAAAAACTCTGTTAATTTGCTCTGCTGCTTCTCAGTCACAATGTCCCAAAGAGACCTGTAGACCCTGTCACCAAGTCCCTCTAGCTGTGAAAAGTGCTGAGTTGGTTCAAACCTTCAACCGCTCAGAGTTTGTCAGAGGAGCTTCATCAAAATCATCCTCCCTCTCTCGATTTGCCTCTTGATTATGAAACGTTTCATCAACACAAGCTCACGTCTCTGGCCTTGCTGCAGCGCTCAGTAATTGCTCATGGGTTAGCTCTCCGAATCTGAGCAAATCCACAGCTGCTACTGTGTCCTCCTTTTCCAGGCTTGCTTGAAGTGGAGCATCATTCAGGGGGTCGTCAAACTGTTCAATATCACAACAAATTTGCCTTTCCTGAAACCATTGGAAATTGTTGGCTTTACATCTTGCCAGGCCTTGGCAACAAGAAAGATGAACACAATCTAGTGAATGTAGAGTTTTCAGGACTGTCTGAACATCTGCGGGGTTCGCCTCAAGAGCAACAAGGATCTGGTTTGCAATTTTTGATGGGTAATGTCCCTTCGTGTTCTTAATCACACCTTGATCCATAGGTTGCATCAAAGATGTAGCACTGGGGGGTAAGAATTCAAGGTGAATGTTAGTGAGAGCCACTCACTGGATAACTGCTCCACACACCCCCCAAGACGAGGCCTATCTTAAGGCTTTGCAAGTGAAGCCGGCGATCACGCTTTTTTAGCCAGTTGATGAAAACTCCCCTGTCACCCAGGCATTCACTGAACTGACGTAATTGAGGAGAAGTTAACTGAAATTCTGTGGAAAGCATCTGGGTTGGATTGACTTCCCACTCATGAACAACAGTCATTTGTCACTCTGATCCAGGTTGGCACAGATATGCACAGTCATTTGAAGCTTTCCCTCCTTCTAGCTTTCCATTTTTTTTCTACATGTCCTCTGTCACAGAGCCCTTTCAGATAAAGTCCTGTTTAGTAAGCATTGCAGATGTCAGCTGGGGAAAAATTTTTCAAGAATGTGAGGAATTTTTTCACAGTACCATTGCTCAGCTGCTGGTGAGTCCACCGACTGCTTTTGCCATGCTCCTTTTTTGGAAGCAACATTGAAGTGTTTCTTCCATCTGGTAAACCAATTGTCACTTGCCTTAAAATCATTCAATCCAACTGAAGAGACAAGCTGAAGGGCTTTTCCCTTGATTGCAAGTCCAGCAAGCAGTGCTCCCTACACCCTCTTCTCCTTGAACCATATAAAGAGAGCCTAGTTGACATCTGAGGCTTTTCCTTCATGCCCACGTTTACAGCAGTTATTCGACTGTCCACCTTTGTATTTAGCCAAAGCTTATCTTTCTGCTTCCACATTCTGCATACAATCGATCTGTGTAGCTCCCATTTGACTACAACTTGGTTTTGAGTAGTCCCAAGAGTTTGACAGTCTGGAATCATCTGTGTTTTTTTTTTTTTTTTTTTTTTTTTTCTTTTTGTTTAGTTTTTTTTTGGGTTTTTTTTGGGTGGTTTTTTTTGTTTTTTTTTTTTTTGTTTGCCACCAAAAAGTGATGCAAGTAAGTGGGGGATGTGACGTGTCAAATGTTGCTCTTATGCGGTGGCTAGGTTGCCGTTACCGAGTGGACAATTCACGGTAGGGAAAATGTTCCCAGGGGAAATGTTGCTCATAAGTGATGTTTGCAGCAATACCTTGTAAGAGCAGCCAAGTGCCTACTGTGTCATTTTGGAAGGAATATGATCGTCCTTCTGCATCTGGTAAGAGCCAAGAGTTGTTCTTCGTGGTTTTAAGATCTTGCAATGGGACCCAAGTAGTCTGATAGTCCTTCTAGAGAAACTGGACAATGCTTACTGCCATATAAGAAGTATGCCCCTCTTTTTCTTCTTTATAAGCTCGTCTTTCTCCATTAGCCAGGCTCTGTCCTCGAACCAAGAACGAAAAGGTGAATGTTTTGGTTTTAATGGTACCACCTCCCTGACTATAACAGTCTATTGCCAGGGCTGGTGTCTAAATTGTTTAAGGCGTTCTCGTCAGGATCTTGCTTGTGTTCTGAAAGATCAGACATTTCTTTGAGAGTAAATAGCATGGGCAATAACTTTCTGATTTTTGTATAATTTTCAAGTACCATGAGAAATTCCGCAGTTAGGCTAGTCATTGTGTAGAACTGACTCTACTCGGTAAAAGTTACATTAACATAGGAATCCTCATCCTCAGCTTAGCAGAAGTGGAATTGTAAGCCAAGAAACAGTTCCCAAAAAAGTGTTCAGGTAGTGCTCTACTGCAGTCTTGCTAATCACATGATAGACACTATACCTGTCCCTCTACAGTGCATGCTCACTGCCATCTGGAGTTCAGTCTTGAAAGGTGTTGCTGCCAGCTGAAAGAGATTGCTCTGTTGACCAGATAGGCCTCAGACAAAGTAAACAACATTTAACTTGCACATTAGCATGGTTAAATCTGGTACACATTCGTATAAACTCTACCCTGAAACACTCCAGTTGCTGTAACTGAAGTTACTTTCTCCCATGCTACTAAAAGGCATAGTCTTTCACTCTCTCTGCCTGTCGCTTCACCTAATGTGAAGCCACAAATAAAGAATTGTAAAATAGCGTATAATGCCATGCTCTGAACCTTCTGGAAAGCTTCTATGTGTTGGTGATTATTAGGGCTGGTCTAAAAGAGTAAATGTCTTCCACAATTTTTAAAGGAAACACTTGTTACCATTTTTGATGAATTTTTTTTTTTTTAGGTCTGGAGCCAATTTTTATTTCAAAAGTCTTTAATTTCAATGGAAGATTTTGAAGGAGATGGTTTTTTCTGCAAAAAACTTTACTTCCTTTGGAAAAAAAATAGATGAAAAGCCACTTTTCAGACAGCTGCACTGGTTACGCTGTTATGATGCCATGTCCTTATCTGTCTTTCCCCTTCAGAAAACTGAGGGGGGTTAAACTCAATGTTGTGTGAAGTCCATCCTTCTTGTTTACTTACTGCTGACAGTCTAGTATATGGACACTTACTAGACTACTAAGGGATGGCAGATAGGGAGAGGCTGTCTCTGCTGACCAGAGATCCTGTACACTTCTAAGTGCCATGTTCAGTAAACCTTATGCTACACTCTTATAACCATGTGGCATTTTTAACTTTAAAAATGAATAGGACCTCAAGCAAGTGCTAGAAGAGAAGATAAATCATTGGATTAAAAAGCTCCATCTCTTAGAAGAACACAGAGAATCCCTGGATAAAGAGTATGTTAGAATGGCAGGAAATCTGAGGAGAATAAGAACAGAGCAGCTTCACGTCAGGAAAGAGCTTTCTTCCAGGTACCTTAATTCTCTCCCGCTCTTCCCCTGCCCCCCCCCATGTAAATGACACATGGAGCTGGGAACTAGACTTCTTGAAATTGAAAACTGATCGCATGCTTCTCTGTGAGCAGATCTGTTTAAAGGGGTTTATCCTACATGGCGTTATCCTCTGCATACCAAGTAAGACTGCATCATTGTAGAGACTCTGCTAAAACACCAGGCAGACCACAGACTAAACAGTTTAAAAGCTGCATGTTCTGCAGGTGCAACCACTAAATAAGCAGAACTGTTGTCTGTGTATGAAGTTGATGGCATGCCCATGTTTGACAGACCAACATCCTTACTTATTGGAAATGGTCTGCTATACCAGACCAAACCATTTCTAGCTCAGGGCAGCACACTGCCTTGATTTACTAGTGGTCAGGGAAAATTTGGACTCTAAGTAGATTTTCTTATAGAAATGGGTAAATGTAGGCTAGGAAAGAACACTCCTATCCTCATTTTATTTGTTTGCTGGGGCTGAGCAAGCAGAGTATTCTCCTGGCCTTTCTGAATCTCCCACCATTGGTGTAGTGCTAGTGCAGGCCAGCTGCTGGTGGAGTGCCCAGCTCAGGACACTGATTAAAAATGGGGGTGGCTGGTAATGCTACCAGTGGAGCTGTAACAGTGGGAAGACGTTCAGAACAAGGTCGGTTTGGATACAGCCCCACTGTTTTGCAATGCAAAAGAAGCCTATTAAGGGTCACTGAACAGCCACTTTCTATCACAGGGACTTGTGTGGTGCTGACTTTCCATTGGTAGTTGTCACTTGGTGCTTTAAAAGGTGCTTCAGTGAGACTAAGTGACTAACAAATCAAAGCTGCGTAACTGTAGTGATCATTAACTCTTCCTGCAGGGTCATCTTCTGACATTTTTACTAATGCTCTTGACTTTGGATCCTCTTACCACTTTTCCCTAAAATAGCCAAATGGACTGTCTATGATAAGTTGTTTAAAATGCCTTTTAAAACTATTTGGTACTGGTGCAGTAAACTCCTACTCCTTTTCCACATTGGAATTCATCTAGACACTACTTGCATAGCATTTGCACAGGTTTGGGTGGCTAGGAACCTACTGAAAACCTACACTACTTCTGTACTCATCTGGCAGATCAAACAGCCTTGGATGGGTTAATCCCTAAACCCCTTGTTAGTTTGATTTCCCAGACACAATGTTAAAGCTTTTTAATAGCATGTGGTCTCTCTCTTAGTGACTCGGTATCACACTTCCCAGGCATATTTTTCTGAACTTGTGTCCTGCCCCCTGCAGACAACACGAGTTAGAAGCTGCCAAACAGTTGCAAGAAGAAGCTGTCAGTCGGGCAGATGTTCTTGGCTTGCAGCTCCAAGAAGCTACCAAACAGTTGGAGGATTCCAGCAAACAGGTAGGGCAGTGACTTGGTGTTCTGCACACCAGAAAGCTATGCTTGATACGCCTCTGCTAGCAAATAGGAAACTATGCTTTGTTGGAATGAACAGCCACACTGCAAAACTGTGACCTGCAGAGGAAGTAAAAGCAGAGGAGGTGGCGTCAACAGCTTGCTGATGAAAGAGGCAACTTTGCATATTTGTGGTGGCTTAAAAAAAACAAAACTCAGAAATAGCTCCCATACACAGTCCACCCAAATGTAAAAATGCAGAAGTTCAGTAGGGGCTTATCACTTCCTGAGAGAACAGATGCATTTCGGTTTCATTTGCATGAACAGTAAAGACCTTTTTGTGTCCGTCAGGGCTGTGATCTTTTTACATTTATTGTTCTGTGCTCAGGTTAAGGATCGAGATGGGGCACTTCATTTTGCCTGGGAAGAAGTCAGATCTTTGCGAAGTGTGTTAGAGGAAGCCATTTCTGAGCAGAGAATCCCTCAGGCTATGAATACGGCTTTAATGAGCTCTTGCCAGACACTTCAGGAAAAAGATAAAGAAGAGAAAAGTAAGTACTTATGTAGTATTCACTTATAGCACTGGCAAGTGTTCTGCTGCAGTTAGATAATGGAAGAATCAAATGAGGTCACACTAGATGGTGACCTTTGTGTTACTTTACTCTGTGGAAGTTCTGTTTCTTTCAAGAATGCTTCAGTCATTCCTCCTTGTGCGATGATCCAGACACGACTTGAGCTCAGCAAGGTCCAGACCTGTTGGAGAAACTTCCCACCAAAATTGCCGGGTGCTGCAAGACATGGGGTTGGTGACTCAGTAGGTGGCGCTTTGAGCCCTCTGAGTCAGGACTAAGTGTTAAGGAGCAGTATAGCTGAAGATGCTGTTCTTGTGCCTAAGCAACCACCTTCGTATTGGGAGTGAACCCTCTTGCCCTGCTACCTCCGCTTCCTATGCTGTAGAGACTCTGTCCAAGCTGCCCATCCTGCTTTCTGTAGGGGACAGCTCTGCAGTCTGAAACAACTGTTTCACCTAGAGGCTGCCACATTTTTCGTTCCTTTTAAACTATAAATGAAGCTCTTTCCTAAACTTATGAGACTTCATAGATTTACCTGGTATTCACCCCTTCTTAACGGCAATAACCCAGAAAGCTTTGATATGTCAAGTCTCTGTCTATTCCCGTAGATTCAATGGAGCGCTGGTGACTTGCACCAGCTGAGGGTCTGGCTCCAGGTACATATGATCCATGCTGTCATGGGGGAAATGTACTCTAAAGAAAAATCTTGAGGCAGGGAAACATTGTAAATTATTTAGTAGTTTTGAAACCAGAACACATGCTGGGAAGATTATGCTGAGCTGAGGCAGAGGCATGCTCCTAAGCACTTGGCTGAAACTGGTCCCTTAAGAATATTACGCCCCGGTATTGCAGAAACTTCCCCAAGATGGCTTTACAGGTTGCAGGTATGTTCATTCGTATTCAAGTGAGCATTTTACCTGAGGAAGCATGTGTGCGCGCACACTGCATTTGCACATTCATCCTTTAGTTATGTTGTTAGCTGCACGGAAGAGGTGTAGAAATGGAAATTGGTATGTTCGTTTCCTTGGTAGGCTCTGGCAAGAGTGTAACTCCTAAGAACAAAACAAACACCAAAAAAACACCCCTGTTTTTAAAATGGGATCTCCCCAGCCAATGTAAATGAAGCCAGTAGAGCTACACTCACTTCCCATTTGAGGAGTCTCCCAAATTTTAAGACAGTCTCTTGTTGAACTGGGAACTCTCTAAAGACAGTTCTTAACAATGGTATGGATATAGAATTGATGATTAAAAACAGTACCACTTCACATGTACTCCCTTTGTGTTGTCAGTCAGGGCGGCTTTCTTCCCTAAGGCCACTTCGACACCTCCACTCACATTGCGGAGTAAACTACTCCACAAGTAGTCCTCTGCTAGCAATGCTACCAATACAGTACTGAAATCAATGGAATTTGCTGAGGAAGGTACTACTTGGTCTGAGAAAGGGTCAATTCTGCCATCCTATGTTTAGAGTCTCTGGTACCTTAACATAACATTAATTGCTAGAGCAGCTAGTGCTGATAGAGCTAATATGGCTACTGAGAGATGGATTCTAATCTGTGGAAGAAGAATGAGATGCAATTAACCAAGTTTTCATTGCCAAAGTATTATTGCAACGATGTACAAAGCAAAATACAGTTAATTTCTATGTGTATTGCACTAGTGTTCAGGGCTGCAGGGGGTGGGGCTATTGCACTAGGCGCTGTACAGACAGTGAACAAAAGGACTATCCTTGCTCTTCAGAGCACTTTCTGGCCTCAGTGTGCAATGCTGGAAACTAAAATAAAACCAACAAAATGCTATGTCATGGGGGTGTGTGTGGAGGGGGAGGAATCTCAAATATCATCTGGAATCACAGGTCCAAACCTGGCAGCCTATGACCCCATGTTTAGAGCCGTTATTCAGAGTGCTATTGCATTCTAAAAGCAGTGACACTCTGATACAAAACACATCCCTTTCTGTATTTAAAAAAGGATAAGAAAATTAGAACAATGCCTAGGACATTTTCAGTGTCTCCCCCGCAGTGGAATATGGTCTCTCGTATGCATCTGTTTTAAAATCGTAAGAATACATGAAAATTGCAGATACAAATAGCTGACGGTGAAAATTTAACTTCATTCATGATGGGCAAAAACAAGGTTAAAAGGAACCATAAGAGCATCTAAAATGGTTCTTTATAATTTAACATGCAGTGATTATGTAAATGTCTCTTCATAGCCACTGTTAACCCACTGAGAGAGAAACTGTTTAAGGGACAACTTTGTGGATTGCTGTGTCAGGTATGAAATCCATTATCTCACCTGGTGGTGGAGGAGAGCATTTCATGGCACAGAGGACACCAGGGTGAATGTCCATCTACAATTTGTCTGAAGTCCAATCTGAGGGCCATTTTTGTAACAACTGAGCTACTTTTTTCCCTAGAGTTTAATTTGTGTAAACGTACTGGCTGAAGCGAACTGTGCAGGCTGATTAGCATGTATCCCTCAGATTCCCCTCCTCAAGTGCCCTGGGTCAGACATTGTCCCTGCATGGTTCAGTACGGAGCATGTTGTTCGGCACTGCTGGTCAACAACTGGTGGTGGTCATGTGCTTAAAAGGATGTTACCTTCATATCTTCCCTGTTTAAAATCTGAGTTTGTTTGATTGTCACACACTGAACAATGTGCATCTTCGCTGTTCTGAAGGCCATTTTAAAAAACAGGAGGGGATGCAGGCAAATGGGAGCACTGAATGTGTGGCTGGTAAAAGGAAGAGGATAATAGAAAAGAGTTTATATTGCAGCAGCAACACTTCATCTTTACAATTTCCATTCAATTTAGTCTGAGGGAAATTTAATAACGTGCCTTCGTTTGTGGCAGCTCTGTGGCAGCTGGGCAGCAAAGAACATCAGTGTTCCCTATTGCCACTGCGGGAAGGTAAATGCACTACTTTATGTAACAAAGCTGGGCAAGGACAAGATTTTCTGTTTTGTAGGGAAATCCTGAGTTCAAAATCCCTTCCATCTGTTCTGGAACTGAAAAAAACCTTTCTAATTTTCCTGCAAAACAGAATCCCTTAATTTGAGTCAATTTGAAACATTCCATATCGACTTTCACTTAACATTTTAATAAAAAATCAAAATATTTCATTATGAAAATGTTGCAATGGAACTTTTTAACATTATGAAAATGCTTCATGTTCACTTTTTTTGTAAACAGAAATTGGTCAAAATCAATACATCCAGGAGACCCTTTCAACAAATAGGCATTTTCCAATGGAAAAACATTTTCCATTGGAAAATTCCCAACCAGCCCTATTACTATAACCTTATTTATTCAGGTACTAAAAGATCAGGCTTTATTTTGACAAAGTTGTGTTCCCTCCAAAGACTTAGAGTAAAGCATTTATCTTTTTTTAAGGCCCCAATCCTGTGCAAACATCCACATGTGCATAAGCTTATGCACATAGGTAACTGAGTCAATTTTACTCATGCGAACTGTCTCTAACTTAAGCTTTTGCAAAGATTAAACAGAAGCAGAATTGGTTAAATTGGGTAGTACTCTGATTGCTTAACTGTAAAAATCCCTCCAATAGAAGGATATTAATCCAACCAACAGTATGGCTTCTACAAGCAGTAATAGTGTATACTTTTCTCTCCCTATCCAGTTGCCCTAACTATCTTCCTATTACAATAGAGTTGCATAGATGAGGAGTCTAGTGACTACAGTCCACTGTCCAGTTTAAACCAAGAAACAGTAAAAGAGAAGATAGTGAGAAATTCTGGCCACTATTTTTAGTCCTATAGTGTTTCCCCCCCCCCCCCCGTCACACAGGGGAGGGAAAAACATTGATTCTACCAGAACTGTGCCAAAATTGGTAACACTTTTTTTTTTTAAAAACAGCTTTAGGAGTAGCCTTCAAGAATTTACAATCAATAAATGCTATCCTGTTCTTGACTCATCCTTTTTATGCCTTGCTTTATATTGTCACTCTGTAAACATTGTGCACCTGGGAAATTGAAATCCAGATCTCTTGATAGACTTCTTTCTGCAAAGTTGTTTTTGTTTTGTTGGTGGGGGGTGGGGGGGGGGTGGGGGGTTGGTTTGGTTTGTTGCAAAGTTAAACTTTTTTGGTATGTATCTTCCATTGACTGTCCTTCAGCCTTCAGCTTCTGTAAAACACATATGGCAAACGACGGTCTTCTGTTGCTTTTTTGAAAAGTTACTGTTCTAAGACATAGGTGACCCTTCTCTGAAGGACTAGAAGCTGAAGACTCAGCTGAAACTCAAACTAGAGTTCTTGAAGCTAGAAGACATAAATTCATCATTAAAATACAGACACTTCCTTGGTTTGAGAACCATGTTAAAATAACACCTTTTCCCCCACATATCGATGAATGGCTACTGCTGCATAAATCCTTTCCAATATGCATTATTTGATTGGTTTTCAGCAGTAAAAGGCCTCATTTGAACAACGGTTAGCATATACAATTGAGGGGGAACTAGGACGCAGGTGGTACTTCTCCTCTCCCCCCCACCACCCCATGGGGACTGGGTCTGTTGGTGGGAGGGGAAGGGGAACTGCAGAAGAGAGCCTGTAGGAGCCACTGGAGAAGCTGCCATTCAGTCAATTTTCTACAGTCTTCACTGGACTTTCTCTGCCCTTTGACTGGTTGTTTTTTGCTCTCACCCTCTCTTCAGCTCAGCTTCATTCCACACCTGCCGCTGTCACCCTCTTCTGCCTTGTCCCGCTCACCACCTCCTACAGTGTCCCTTCCTTTTACTTCACCTTCTAATTAGCTTATCCCTTCCTAACTAAACCCACTACTCAAAAAACATGGCACTAACATGTCTGCCACCATCACGATGTCCACGCTGTTTGTGTATTGTACCCCTTCCCCCACCCCATGTGGGGCTTGTCGATTGGACTGTAAACTCTTCAGGGTAGGGATTGTCTAGCATTCTGTGTGTACAGTGCCTAGCACAATGGGAACATGCTTGGCTGGTAGTAGGTGCTACTGTAAGTAACATGAACAATAACCTGCCATACGCTTTCCCTTCTCCAATTAGCACCTTTGCTCCTTCAAAAGATTTGGGGGCCAAGAAGCAGGTCAGGGCACTGGACTTCCCAAGACACCCTCCTTGAGATACTCATGCTGGTATTCTACACCTCTGCTAGGTAAGATCTGCTGGCTACTCTTTTATGGTTTTTGCCTTCTTTTGTACCCTGATCTTTTGAAGTGCAGAGGTAGTTGGTGGATGAACTAAAATTATTGTCTAAAGTAACATGGTGCTAAATCTAAAATAGCAAAGGATTAAAAGATGAACCATAATGGAAATTGTTCTATCAAGCACAGATATTCTTTGCTATAAGTATCTGTTGCCTGTGCCTCAGTATAAATCTGTCCTGACTCACTATGGTGAAAATTTGCTATTGGCTTTAATTGGTATAAACAATGCCCACAAATTACCTGAGATGCCTTTGCCTGGCTGGATCTAAAGAATAGCTGTGTTCATGAGCCATCTCACAGACAACTGGAAATGGCAACCGAAGAGCTTTTCTTGTGCGAAACAAATGGCTGTACCATCAATCTCCAGCACTAATGATGAGGCGGTTTAGCTTACGTTGTATATGACAGGCATCAAAAACTGAGCTTTTAACCATCCCAGTTTTGCCTGCTTCATTTACCCCAAGCTTTAGCTTGTAGCTGAGAGTCCAGGCCATGTCATGGCATAGATGTGGGTCAGTGAGCTTCCATCTAGCCAATCGGTCACCTTCCCATAATGCCACTGTATGCTGATTCTGCAGAGATGTCATTTTATGCAGTGTCTGCAATTCCTCCCTTTGCCTACTGGTCCCTGTTGTCTGGGAGCCCAGGGTTACTCTAACCAAGGTTTTATTTCCACTGCAATATACGATGTTACTTTCTACAGTAAGTGCTGCTGCCTTGCCTCCCACACATTACCATCCACCCATCTCCCCATGACACCACTGCTTCAGTTCAAAATGCCATATACAATTGTCAAATCTGAAAGCTGTGTGAGGTAGAGACTGGCTGCTAGCGTTGCAGTGTGGCAAATGGACACCACTGCTCAAATGCAAGTGTGTCCATGGTCACTGGCCTACCCTGGACTGCTGGTCATGCTCCCCTTAAAAATGGATTCTGCCAAGTTTTATGTCCATCCACCTGTAGTCTGCTTATATTTCTCTACAGCTCCCTGAACCTTTACTAATAACCTATGAAAATAGCAAGCGAATGAAACCGGGCAAATGTACAGTCAGGTTTATTGTCTCTGAGGTGTGGATATATCTGTTGATAGAAAAGGACCAAATCTACCCAGCTGACTGACTAGTAACTTTTTATGTTGACACCCGGCTCATTATTTCACGTCTGCATCTTTGTTAACAGATGCTCTGGCCTTGGAAGTCCTACAGCTGAATCCAAGAGTGTGCACAAGCAGTGATCTCACATGTGTAACCACCAGAGCTCGCTCTATGTTTGAAAGGGAGGATCTGAAAAATGGGTCTACTTTGGACGTGACACTGGAGGGACACAAGTAAGAGGGCGAAACAATGTTTGGGCTGGGGTCGGGGGAAAGGGAGACTGGACAAGTAGTGTTACCACAGACTCTTGAGGAGAGCTGAAGACCGTCACTCTCTAGCTGTTCTAGTATAGTTTCTGTTATTGTTAAGGTTCAAGAATCTGGTCTTGTTTAATACTACAGCGTCACTGCAAGGGAATGAGACCCTATATTCTGAATTAGTGAGCAAATAAAGGTATCACTGGTTATAATGGTATCTATATGTCCCTTATCACTGTAGAACCAGAGTGCCTCACGTTCATTAATAAGGGTTATTCTTACAATGCCCCTGTGAGCCATGGAGGTGGTATTCCCATTCTACAGATGGGGGACCTGAGGCATAGGATAGACTAAGTCACAGGGGAAGCCTGTGACTGAACTTGGAACTGAAAATCAGGTCCTTGAGCTCCAGGCTAATGTGCCATCCCCAGACCGCCCTTCCTAACTGTGACTAGAAATTGATAATTTACAGGGTCATCAAAGCACCAGAGATGCTTTTGTAGCCATTGTGGTATCAAATTTTCTTCCTCTTAAGGCTAGATCTGATTTTTCCCTTTTTGGAAACTGATTTTTAAAAAATGTGATGTGGCTGTTGCTGAGGAAGCAGAACATTGCATTGCAAACGCGGAGACTTGCAGTTACCTAACTCTCTTGACTCCTCTGTTACTATCTGTCAATGTTATTTTCACTAGACTTGTTTTGCTTAATGATGTATCTGTCATGGTTGGGGAATAGCCCCAATCTTCACGAAGACACGGTGGTGAACTTCAACTCTTGTTTCTGTGTAAAATTAATTTAAGGAAAACATCCAAATGTGATCTTGTTGCAATATGCAAATAAAATTTGGGTTGCCAGGTGGAAGATACGCTCTGTTGGTAACCAGACTGATGCAGATTTTGTTGCCTTCTCTACTACAATGGACTCTCTATTTACTGAGGTTAGTGCTGTCTTTAATTTCAGCAATCTTGCCTTTGAATTTGGTAGCCCTTTACTTGCAATAGTGCACTGACTTTTTAAAATAGAATTGAGGGGTCAGATTTTCGGCATTGCTCCATTGGTAAATCAGTGGACTTCTGCTGACTTACCTTTCTTTCTGCAGACTATTGGGAGACATACCAACTGAGACTATCTCTTTTAACAACTGTGATTGGAATAAAACATTCCAGAAATGTACTTGACCAGTGATGTTCAAATCCAGATCAAAGTTTAGGAGTATTTAAATCCTATACTCTAACTCAGAGTACTCTTTATTCAATGTACAAATCTTAAAATGAGTGTTCCTTTTTCAGTAACAAGGGACTCCTCTATTGGTAAAGCATGAATGATATCCGTTCCCAACAACATGTTGGGGGGCGGGGGAAGAGATGAAACAAAAAACCAAGCAGGCATCTTTACATTTTAATAATCCCATCTGATTGTCTTTCTGTATACTTCCTTCTGTGAAAACTGTTACGTTATGACTATGCTCTTCCAAAAATCCATTTTTGCTTAAGAAAAACAAGGTGATCGATACTTTACCCAATATAGAGTAGTTCAGATTTGCATCTAGATTTCAATGGGATAGTGTGTCTGTCCACTCAGTGCTTAAGGTGAGGAAGAAGACCAAATAAATGGTCCTCAGTCCCACAAAGTGACAAGTTACGACAGGCAGATGAACATTAGAGTAAATCCTTGGTTCTCGCCTTGATTGCTGGTCACCAACGTTACTTTCTGTTCTAGTCAGCACCATACACTTTCTAATTGTGATGTTAATTGGAAATGTGCCTGAGCTTTGTCAATGGGATCAGGATTTCAAATCCTGGACTTCAGCGACATTTGCATCTGGCCTGTCAGACTAATACAATGGCACTTTTTTCCGTACTGCCGCATCAAATGAAAGTGCAATCTAATCTAGACTAATAGTGAAATCATTTTCTGCTACAAATGAGTTAGTAACCTCAGATCTGCCTACTGTGAAGTGGCCCAGCCATCTGCAATAGTCATTATCCGCTCTTGGTGGAGAAGCAAAGGAGAAAATGAGACAGCTACTCAATCACTCTTTCCACATTAGAGTGATCTTGGGTTTGAGCTATGTTGGTTGACTGGTGTGGGGGCTAGGTGAGGAAACCTCCTCTTGCACTGCTACTGCCCATATTGTACTTCTGCTTTGGCTAGCTAGAGGGCCTTGTTCCACACAGCTGTCAACACAGCACTTGTGACCAGCACTGTTGTGTACATTTAAAGCAACATAACACACTCCATATTTGTATAGTTGTATAGTTCTGTAATTCCAGTTTATACCCAAAATTACACTTTTTGGCTCTGGGTAGGGTTCCTCTGTTGGAATCCCATTTGTGTCGTATTCATAATCCTCCTTTCTTCCCTGGGACAAGAGTCCAGGTCTGAACTGAAGGGAAGGCAAATGGGCGGTATCCCATATCTGGTCTAAAAACTATGACGTAGAACAAAATTTGAATGTACATGTTTAATAGGAAGAGTGTCTCTAGCATTTTATCAGACTGTGGTTACCTGCAGGTGTGCAGGTGTGTTGCTTATAGTGAGTCCTTCAGAATGTAAGTAACTCCATACTTGTATTACTGTGTGTGTGTGTGTGTGTGTGTGTGTGTGTGTTGTGAAAACATGGTCAGAGTAGGGATTTGAGGCTGCTTTAAATCTCTAGCTCTTGTGTGAGTCAAACTAATCTTTCTATGCTGGGGGCTTAGAACTAAACACTTGCTTTCCAACACATCACCAAGGAAATGTATATTGATTCCTTTGGGATTCTGTAAGCTTTTATGCAAGGAGTACTTCACCAGAAGACTGCTACAACACAGATAGTGTCTGGAGGACAGTGAAACGGCAAACACACTCTCCATTACAAGAAGTAGGCCTAGACGATAGAGAGATATTGATATTATAAGGAGATCATGTGTTTTTCACATTTGTAAACAGAGCTGGTTTGGGCTCTATTGCAAATCATTACCTTGCTTCACTAGAATGACTGATATATTGCATATAGCAGGTAGTAACTGTGCCCTGAATTTCTGTAAAATCATGATTTTGTTAAACCTATTAAAGGCAGGTATCTCTGGCATACACTGATAGGTGTGATAGTAAAGCCATAGTGTGGGCTTTTTTAAATTCTACCTCTGCAATCCAGAAGTTTCAACAGTTCTTAACACTTTAAAGTCTTTGGAAAAGAACTAGGTGTGGATGAAAAGTATAGAACGGCTTTCAGTTCTCCTTTGGCTTGTAACAAAGTCACTGAGAGCTTGAATTTATTCCTGCATTATATGTGGGGGTGTCTCTTGCTTTGGTCAATCCCTCTTGATTTCGAGGTAGTACTACATTATAAGCTCCCTTGAGTCTTTTTGTTTCCATTCCAGTACACTGCTCCCTCCCCTAGAGAAAAATAAAACACTGTAGCTTCCTTAAGCCCAAGAGAGAATTCAAATAAGAGTATAAATAGCAGAGATTTGCATGAGCAAACATCCAGATGACCGAGCTGAACTCTCGTCACTGATCCTTAAACTAATGTGGGGAGAAAGGAAACTGAACAACATACACAGCACTGCTGTCCAGTGGGGCTTTTTATTATTTATTTATTTTTAAAGTTGCTCAGTTTTTGCTTGCCCAACTAAAAACATCTTGAAAGGGGTCTCACATTTTTCAGAAACAGCTGAGCTTGCATCCTCTTAAAAATCAGGCCCCATGCAGGCGTAAGGCTGGGGACCTAAGCATCAAGGGGTCCATAATCACTTGTCCCTTCAGAACACTGTTGCCTGTATGGCATGTTTCTATGATAAAAGCTTATGGAGGCTTTTTCTGTAGAAAGAAAGTTAATAAATAAAGATTTTCTTCTCACTTCACTTCTAGATCCCACTCTTACAAAATTAAACAGGTTCAGAAATGTAAAATTTGAGGAGGTTACCAATACTGCACATCTCTGAGACACTCCAGCCAACTCCTATCTCTGTGCTTTGATTACTTTCCTTTCCTACGCTCCCTCCCTTTTGTTTTTTAATATCTGCTCATGTTCTTAGTCATCATGTCCTCCATGGATGGGCTCATTAAATTTCTCCTTCATCTTCATTATTTCTATGCTATAGTAACAGGATTTTTTCTATATTGTACAGGGGTGGAATTCTCCCCTTGAATAAGTGGGCTGGTCTCCCATTCACTTCAGGGGGAGTTAAATTTTTCCCTCAGAAGCCTATGTTCCAAACATCTTTTGTACATGATAGATCCTCTTCATATCTATCTCCTTGCTGGTACAGGATAATAAAGGAACACAAAAGCTATTTACCTGCTATTATATAACTAGTCTCCAAGACACTCTTACCATTTTAATTTTAAGAGCTTCTGTCCCCCACAAACTGTGATAACCACTCCGTACAAGACAGCCTGTTGTATATGTATTATTATAAAATGAGTCTGGGGGAAAGCATAATGTTAACCAGAGTGACGTGGAAATCCAATACAATAGCATTACTAGTCTTTGTAATGTGCACATTAAAGCAAATGCGCTCCCTAGACACAGAGAGGAGTGGCCATAAAAGCCATGCAAACCTCCTACAATTGCAAATTAACTACTGATAACTGGGATTCAAACCAAAATCTTAGAACAATACTAATGTAACTCCAAGTGTATTTGCTTTGTGGTGGTGGTCCAAGGAATTGACAATGGTAATAAAATGTAAAATACACACTGGATTCCAAGTTCAAGCTTTTTAAAAGGCAGTTTATGTATCAGCGATGTGCTACAGATTTGGGGCCAGACTTGTCTGTTATTCAGGTGCAACAAATTGAACTGAGAAAAGAATTTGGCCCTTAATGGTGAAACAAAGTTATTATGATCATTAAGCTAGTATGAAAAAACAAGTGCCTTTCTGCTCTAAGATCTGGTGGGTGTGGTACAATGTTGCTATTAGTAGGAATCAAAAATGGAGACTTGAATGTAAATGTTCATCTCTTAAACAACATGTAATTTAACCCGAGCAAAAGCTCATTGTCTCGTAGAAGCAACACTGAGTCAGCTTCAGAGCTTTTTCTAGTGTTGCTTTCTGAATTTCTGGAAGGGACTATGTCCCCAAATCATCTTGGTGAGCAATGTAGCATGGCTTTGAAAGTGGTGGGGGAAACAAATGGCAGAAAAGGCCAAGTGGCTTTGTTTCTCTTTAAGACTTGTATCACAATCTCACTTCAGTTTAAAGTGTGTGGGGGGTGGGGGGGAATCTAGCATTGTGACATTTCTTTGAAACAACACACTTTGATTTTAAAGTGTGAAGCTCTTTGGCATAAAGGTCAGGAGTACAGCTTTTTGTAACAAAACTATAGATGTGAACAGATTTCCCCCCAAAATTACTACTTCTACAAAAACATAATTACACCCCCCTGGTAGTAACAGAATTAAAACATACACTATACATCTAGAGCTGGCTGAAAAACATGGGCAGGGGAGGGTGCAAACTTTTTTTTTAAATAACCCCCTCTCTACTGAAATGAACATATTTCAACCAGATCTAGATACATCTAAAGAAATTGTTTAAGACTGGGACCTGGTAAATATTATAAATTTGCTTTACACAAGAAGTGATGTCCTATTACAAGTATAAACACTAAAATGCTTTAACATTTCTTTTGTTAAGGAGAGTAGTGCTTTGCCTTTAACATCGGATAATCCAGTCTTGTCCAGGTCAGTCTCTGTGTATACATTTAATTCTTAAATAAATTAACCAGACCTATCAGATCATGAATGTCTAAGTGTTTTCCTGTCTTGGCAGTGAACATTCAACACCATCCCAAGAAGAAGATATTACATCTTCTTTGGAGAGCTCTATATCAACTGGTAAGTTCTTAAAGTGGAAGCACAGTGATCCATGAATTTTGTCTGAGAGGTCTGACTAAGATTCCCGTGAGTATATGCAGCTTTTTAGCAGTAATGGCTCTGCCTTCTATTGCCTCCTATTATAGAATTGCTCGCCATGGAGACACAATTGTCAGAGGCTTCATGGGCAAAAGGTGAAGACACATCAACCTGTATAGCAATGAAGAAAAATAAAGATAAGGATCTGAATAATGATGTATCAGGTATTGTAGCTGCTCTGAAGATTTATCATGTGATGGGGAAACTGCTTGCTTCCAACATATCTTTTTGAAGTGAGGAAGTTGAGTAAGAATTTGTGCAAAGCTCTCTCTCCGTCTACATTATGTTCAGAATAATAACGTTTTGGCCTGCAACTGCTTCCAGATTTCACTGGGGCTCTGCACAAGTATAGGGCTTTGCCTGGGCAGAGACCATTGCAGGATTAGGGCTTAAGACACTGCAAAAAGGGGCACGTAGAATGAGTTGGTAAAGGTGATTACTCTCCTGCCAGGGCTGGCAATCCAGGCACCTTTCATAAGCATTAAATTTAATGCAGCTCTTCTGAAAATGTAAATAAATGAAAAAGATTCCAAAGCACTGTGCCGCATGATCCGTTGAAGGGAAATGGGGAAACATCAGTCAATCTATGTCAAACTTGAGCGGCCCAAAACACTGGGGAGAGGTTGGGGTGGGGAGAGAATGAGGGAAGAGTCTCATTGAGGTCAAGCAACACTATTCTCATCTTTGTTCCTGAATGTGTTTCCTTCACTTAGTAAAACAAATGTCCCTACTTTTCTCCTTGAGCACACACAAGCCTAAGTTAAGGAAAATCATACATATACAGAGTGTATTTTTAATAAAAGCTGACTTCGAGTACACCGCACAGAATAGCAGAGAACACTTGTTTTAAATATTGATTTGTAATTTGGAATGCACTTCTAGAATATGCTAATTTAGTCAGTAATGGACCCCAGAGATGTCATTCTTTTTCTGAACATTCATCTTCCTTTGGGCTGGGTTCTGAAGTCTCTAATTTTAGACGCCAGATTTAAGGTATTTGTTTCTTCACTAGTAATTTCCTTTCTAATTCATCTTCATCAACTTTTTCTTGGAAAAACAGACCAGCCTGGCTTCAGAAAGTAGCATTGCTGAAGATATTTCACTTGGCTTATCAATGACTCGATGGGTGGAAGCACACAGTCTTAAGCATAGAGCCAGAATGGGGTAGGATGGCAGAGCTGTGCCCATAGCTTGGATCCTACTAGTGCTAGTTGAAATCTCAATATCCAGTTGTCCTTTATCTTCCACGTTGTACTAAACTGTCAGCACTCCACTTATATCTAAGGCATCACTATACTTCTACAGAACGTCTTTCTAATACACAAATAGAGGCAGAGGGTTATTGGTGGTTTGCTACTGTTGCTTTCAATAGTGCCAACCATAACGTCTATTGCTTTTTGAAAGAATAAGGTAGGCTTTGTAGGACTTGTTGGTTTGTTTGTTACTAGTGTTAATTCAGTGTAAAGTCTGTAAAAGAGAAAATTCTAGAAGTCCAGTTCTCGATCACACTATTGACCATGTTGCACATCCTGTTTCTTTGGTTGGTACTAATATAGACTCGTGTTTTGTTGTTAATTTTTAAAAGAGATTCTTTGTAGCTAGAGCTGCCATTGCAGGAGAAATGAACTGTTGGAATTGCCTAACCTTTTGAGTGCTTGACTGTGCAAACTTAATATTGCATTAGGTCTAGCTCCCTGTACACTAATTCTTTTGAATGTTTTAAAAATTCAGCAGCCTCTCCAATGGAGCATATAACATCCTAAAAACCAGAGGTGATTGGTTGTGGCACTTAGAGTGATGTGTGCTTCTTAGACTGGAGTTGAGCAGTTTGCTGCACTCACCAGTTTGTTGCCTTTTGATCTGTAGCTCACAACCCTTGGAGTTTAATCTGCTCTAGCTGTAGAGCTTCTACATTCTTGCAGCTGAACAACTATCTGTACTGTGTACCACAGTTCACTTCAGACACCAAAGTGTCTACTGCACATGGGTCCTGTGTCTTCCGACATTATTCTAGCTTTTCGAATAAAGACCTAGCGCATGAAGCGGAGCATGAAGGTGCATTCAAGCTTCTAGGTGATGGTATCTGAATTACATCTGTTGTGCTTGCTCCCACACACCCTATATTGCTAAGCAGAGCACCACTTCCAAACCTCCTTTAGCCTCTTCATGTGAGATCAGAAGTATTTCTTACAACTCTAAACTGACTGACTTTTATTTTATTTTTTTAATTTAACTTCCCCCCGTCGCCCCCAAAATCAAATAATCAAAGCATAGAAAACTTCAATTTTCCAAAACAATTGCTTTGGGCTGAATATATAGAAACTGTCTTGCAAACTTAGAGCAGCTGCAACCAGCATGACTGATCAATACAAAGCGGTAACCCTTTGTGTTGTGATGCTTTGACTCAATAAATGTGCCATAGCAGCACTGCCTGCGCTTTCTTGGGGGAGGGGGAGGGGGAGGGATAGCTCAGTGGTTTGAGCATTGGCCTGCTAAACCCAGGGTTGTGAGTTCAGTCCTTGAGGGGGCCACTTAAGGATCTAGGGCAAAATCAGTACTTGGTCCTGCTAGTGAAGGCAGGGGGCTAGACTCAATGACTTTTCAGGGTCCCTTCCAGTTCTATGAGATAGGTATATCTCCATATATTTATTTATTTACTATTTATTTCTACAGCATTCTGTGCTGCTGGCTTTTAAAGGCCTCTTTCTTTATTGCATTTTCTTCTGGTAATTACTACGCGGGGGGTATGAAAGAGCAGTGGTGGTTCCTGCTTTAGAAATCTAGTTAATAGGTAACATTTGTTCATCTTTGAAATCTTTACATCCATTTCCGGAATCTCTCTCTTCAGATACGGATCTGACGACTAAAAGTGAATTTTGCCCCATCATGGAAAATCACAAAACTACACCTGAAAAAGAATTACAGCTAGATCTGGTAAGAGCTCTACTAGACTGCTAAAGTTCTAGGAATGCTGGCATGTGCAACCCATTGGCTTTAGCTGTAAGAGAAGACCGGGAATGCTGAAGTGACAGATGGGGTGGCTTGAGAAACAGATTGCTTGGTCTGTCTGAAAAGTCCCACACTGGAACACCTACTAAGGATGAAAGGGGTAAGCACCACCATGGGTTGGACTCCCCTCCCAGAGACTGCACGGCCAGTTCCTGGGCTGGTGTCCGTTGGATGCCAAAGGAGCTATGAGGATTGACACGAGCTGAGGATCTGGTCCAGTGATTCCCCTCATGGGTTCAGGCCAGATGGGACAGGCTTGGTGGTGGTTGGTTTTGGGTTTTTTTTCCCTGCCCATCCTGGGATACTTTAAATTCTCTCCATCTCGTATTCCAGCATAGTAATCTGACTGCTTAAGAAGTTCTAGATAGTGTCATTTCATGAGGAGTTTGCAAGGTAACTTGAGCCTTCTCCAAGGAAGACCCAAACTGCTTTAGGGAGGGGAAGCCTTCCAACCCATTCAAGAACTAGTTTCCATACACGGCAGTGGCAGCAGTATAAAGTACCTGATTAGTTCACACAAACCCACTGTAGGACTAGAGTACCTCCGTCATAACTGATCTTATTGTCAAGTATTTGTGGCGAGTTTGTATAATTACTCTCTAAACCATTTTTAGGAGACAGATGGGGAAATGGAAGCTATTAAAGAGCAGAGTGAACAAGTGTCTGCTACAGTTTCTGGTAGAAAAGGTAAGTGGTCCTCGCTGAAATTCACATCACTTAACACATTACAGCGCATGCTTGGTTAGTGTTCCAGTAAAACACATTGGTCTTAAACCTCAGAATATTTAAATATTCTTATCCCTAATTTCTTTATGTTGTGTTTGCTGTACAACCGAACTATTGCTTGTAAAAGTGGAACAGACTATCTTAATGCTTAACTATGATGGTGAAAACTCTTAAATGTGTATATAATGCAACGTAAAACCCTCTCTGAAACCAGGATGAGGACACTGCTTTCAGTATGAGAAAATAACATTGTTTGTAGTTTTCAACTGGGTGTGAAGAGCTGATGAACCACTGAGCAGATCATGTTTGTTACAGGAATGATGGTCAATTCTGATACCTTGGTGACAGGAATGTCCCAGGTTCCTACCAGGGTAAAAGCAGTTGCCAACACAGACCTAGGATTATTGTTCATGTAAAGAGCTGACTGCTACAGAAGCTTTTTTTTAACCTTGTATGATGTGCTTATTATAGTCTGGCTTTGGAGAGGGAAGCAGCTTTGTCAATTTTATGTTGTGTAAACTTTAAAGTGTTTGTCATCAGGCATTAAAATGGAGAGGAACAGAATGTTATCCTACAAAGACATGCTCTTCGTCCACCTCCTACCAGCACTGGTCTAATCCAGCTGTATTTTCCCTTGGACAGGAACGAGAACTCCTTAGGGGTCTCCAAACAGGCCAAGTTTTTACTACACCCAATGATCTCCTAATGCTAACTATGATACTTGCATCCCCTACTCCAACAGGGATATAAAGCAACGTCTTTCAACCCATCAAAGCTTTGGGCAGTATAAGAATCTGAAAGCTGGGTGGCAGTTTCTACTGAACCCAGGCTGGCTTTCCCTTTTTAGAAGTGCCTCACCTTTAGTCTTGGCTGTCCCCACCCATGTGCTGATCCTTACTGAACTATTAATAGTGAGTTTGGGGAGGCTTCTATAATGCTTATCTTGAAGTGGTGGGTTGTGGAGAGGAGGTTGCAGTGGGGACTGAAACCAAAACCAAAGATCCAACTACTGCAAATTCAGATCTGGACTTCTGTAGTTAAGGCCACAAACTAATCAAACAAGGACTGACTCTTTGGGGTCTTGGCCATTGAAAGGAAACACTAATGAGCTGCCTTGCTGACTTTTAACCTAGTTCTAATGCACATTGATGTTGCTACTTCTATTACCAGACAATAGTTCAACCTAAGTCTTAATCCAGTTTTTCCCTCTTGGGACTGAACTTTTAAGTCTTTCGTAAACTCCTCTTTTTAAGGGGAGTTTATTCCTCAACCTAACAACTAAAATTTTGTGTGTTGTCTCTTTAATTATCAGGGAATTCTTCTCCCACTATGACTGGCCTTAAAGTGACCAAAACCAAACAAAATGACAAGTATGTATCTCATGTAATCTGATGCCCACTTGCATTTACTTCGCACTATGCTCTTCTTATGTGGTTATTCCTTTTCCTCCTACAGTGTTTCTCCTAATGAGAAGGAGATGGAGGTGAGTCTTAACTACTTGTATCCTGAAATATTTCAGCCAGTAGAACTTTCTAATGGTCCTTTCTTTCTGAAATTCAGGTAAAGCATTTTTCAATGTACTGAGTGGTTTTGAAATTGACCTTCTGCCTCCCCTTAAATTAATGAAATTCATGTAATCCTTGATTTAGGTAAATATTCATGCCAGTGGTGGTGTTGGACTTCCATGTCCAATTGAAGCCCCCTGTGTGCTAGCGGTGAAGGGAGATCCTTTCAGAGGATGAAGCTGAAATCTGTTTATCAAAAGATGCTCATAAGCAGTGCAGGAAAACGGGGCAGAGGAGGAAGGCTATAAAAACGAAGACTCTTGTCACTATATAAACTTTTGGGTTTGAATTTTCTCTACTGGTGTCATTTTATGGGGGGAAGGAGAGTTCTGGCCTAGACACAAGCTTCAGCCTAACAGAATGTGCTAACAGTACAGTTCATACTGCCAGGCAGAATTGTTTCATGTTGCCTTTCCCAACAGGATGAACTGTTGGGGATGTGGAGAGAGAGAGAGAGAGAGAGAGAGAGAGAGTAGCTATTCTGGTGGTAAACTAATTATCTATCACTAGAGATGGGTAGAGTTGCAAATTTTGATTTTATTTATTTATTTAAATTCGAAGCTTGTTGGGGAGGGTTCAGAACTGGTGACCTCTCCTACAACTCCTCCTGTCATTCATTAGCAATAGCTATTGAGTCTCTGAGGTAACGCTTAGTACTGAATATACTTCTGTGTTGCCTGATCTATTTTTTTTTTTTTTTTTTTTTTTTTTTTTTTTTTTCCTCTCTCTTCCCCTACAAAAGGCAGAGTTTCTCAGATTGTCTCTGGGCTTTAAATGTGACTTGTTCACCTTGGATAAGCGAGTGAGGCTTGAAGAAAGGTCCCGAGATTTGGCTGAAGAAAACTTGAAAAAGGAGATCATGAATGGGCTGAAGCTGCTGGAGGTTAGCAATGGATGAGATTGGAAGGAGGGAGGGTACAAGTGGCCTGACAGTACATTTTAACCATAGAAATATGGGGCTGGAAGGAACCTAAATAGGTCTTCAAGTCCAGCTGGCTGTGCAGAGGTAGGACCAAATATACCTAGACCATCCCTGACCGGTGTCTGTCTAGCCTGTTTTTAAAAACCTCCAGTGATGAGGCTTCCACAACTTTTCTTGGAAGCCTGTTCCAGAACTTAACTGTCCTTGTAGTTACAAAGTTTTTTTCCTAATAGCTAACCTAAATTTCCTTGCTGCAGATTAAGCCCATTACTTCTCCATGTCCTCTCGCGGAATGACCAGAACAATTGATCAGTCATCTTCATAACAGCCCTTAAGCCTTCAAATATGTTAGCAGGTTCTTTCTCTTCACTCCCGTCCCCCCACACCAACTTAGTCTTGGGGGGGAGAGGGGAGAAAGACTAACTATGGCCAGTCTTCGAATGTTCCCTAATAGGTCAGGTTTTTCTTAAACCTTTTTATCATCTTGTTGTTTGTTGCTCCTCTCCTATATGGACTCTTCAGTTCCAGGCACCACAATTTAGGAAAGATGTGGACACACTGAACACAATATGCCTGTTGAGGCCTCACCAGTGCCAAGTAGAGTGGGACAATTACCTCCCTTGTCTTACATAAACACCCCAGTTAATACAGCCCAGAATGTTAGCCTTAGGCCTGGTCTACACTAACCCCCCAATTCGAACTAAGGTACGCAACTTCAGCTACGTGAATAACGTAGCTGAAGTCGACATACCTTAGTTCGAACTTACCGCGGTTCAGACGCGGTCCACACGCGGCAGGCAGGCTCCCCCGTCGACTCCGCGGTACTCCTCTCGCCGAGCTGGAGTACCGCAGTCGACGGCGAGCACTTCCGGGATCGATTTATCGCGTCCAGACCAGACGCGATAAATCGAACCCGGAAGTTCGATTGCCAGCCGTCGAACTACCGCGGTAGTGTAGACATACCCTTATTTGCAACTGCGTCACACTGACTTCTATTCAATTTCTAATCTACTATAACACCCAGATCCTTTTCAGCATTATTACTGCTTAGCCAGTTATTTCCCCATTTTGGCTTTGTCCATTTGACTTTTCCTTCCCAAGGGTAATACTTTACACTTGTCTCTACTGAATTTTATATTGTTGATTTTAGACCAATTCTCCTATTTGTCAAGGTAATTTTGAATTCTAATCCTGTCCTCCAAAGTACTTGCAACCTCTCCCAGCTTGGTGTCAGCCACAAAGTTTATAAGCACATTCTCCTCTCCATTATCCAAGTAACTAATGAAGATATTTATTACATCCTCCCAGTGTGACCGCAAACCACTGATAACTACTCTTTGAGTACAGTCTTTTCAATCCCTTGCACACCCAGTTTATAGTAACTTCATTTAGGCTACACTAGAGAGCTTTCATTGGTACTGCTGCCGAGAGAGCTCTCCCATCGGCTTAATTAATCCACCCCCAATGAGTGGTGGTAGCAGCTCTCCTGCTGATGTAGTGCTGTCCACACTGGCACTTAGGTCGGTGTAACTTATGTCATTTGGGGGTAGCTTATTCTCACTGCTGAGCGACCTAAGTTATATCGATATAAGTGGTAGTGTACACAGCCTTACTTAATGTAAAGTTTTTGCTGGAATTTATTTTTGGATTTGATGATCTAAATAGAGTAAAAAAAATATGACTCTGTTTAGCACTGAGGTTCTGTTATTTGGGTTTTTATAAAATATTATATATATATATATATATATATATATATATATATATATATATATATAATGTGTATATTACACACACTGAAGAGTTTTTATACAGCAACAAATGGGAAATTCTCCTGTTCAAAGTGCTGTTGTAGTGAGCTGATAAAACCATAATGTGAATGTCAAGGTTACAATTCTTAGCTGATGTAAATCAGCATAACTCCTTTGTTTTTTTCCAGTGGTGCTGTATTTAGTTACACCAACTGATATCTGGCCCTAATATACTTGATCATGCAAACAGGTACGCCCAAGCAGAATCCCATTTAGGTGTGATCGCTTCCTTTGCAGAGTAACATTCACTCCACAAGCCTCTAGAATGGCATCTCACTTATTTACTAATCATCAGCACGGTTACATTTCCCTCTTCTTTCCTCCCCACTTCTCCCCCTCTGCCCATGAACTTCTTAGTCTCTAGCACCTTTGTGTGATGAAGATAACCAAGCACAGGAGATCATTAAGAAGCTGCAGAAAAGCTTGCAGTTCCTTAGCCAGTATGCTGCCAGACTTGCTAGTAGAGCAGAGATGTTGGGAGCCATTAATCAGGTAATCTGATTCAATTACTACTTTATGTAAAGTAAGGAAGCTTTCTTTAGTCTAAAGCTCTCTTTAACAGATTCCACTCAGTATTTGTAATAGAACTTCTGTTTTATACAGTACACAATTTACTGGAACAATATTATTAAAAAGCATTATGTTGGTTATCCGCACACTCATTTGTATCACTGTAACATCTAGGAGCCCTATTCATGGACAAGGATCCTATTGTGGTAGGTGCTGCACAAGTAAAACAAAAGCAGTCCCTATCCCCCAAAGCCTACACGTTAAGTATAAGACAAGATACAACAGATGGGAGTATGGTGAGATAATATCCATCAGATAGGCAATGGTCTCAGCACACCAGTGGCCTAACCATTGTCAAGTTTTTATAGGCATTGTGGAAAAGGGGAGGTTTTAAGGAAGACAAAAATGAGTTTTTCAGATGTTTACAGGAAGCATCTCCCAGGCATGAGGGGCAGTATGGGGGAAAGCATGAAGGTGCTTGAAAACTTAACAAGTGGGGGATGGAGATATTGTGGGTTCCCCCCCACCGCCCAAGACCTCTTCCAAAACTTCAGTCTCATCACTCAGGTTCCTTTTATTTGGCATACAGCAAAACTATATGGAGTTGATCGGGCTAAAGCGTCTGGGATGGGTATAGGGTGTACGCACATCCAAAGTTACACACAACTTCTCCTTGTATACATTTCTACCAACACTATAACACATGCTTTCCTAGCTATACATTGCATCACATGCTTTGGGATTGGCTTGGTTACTCTGCAGGAACCAATCCCTGTACCTGTCCATACTGTGTGCATGCATGATCTGCTTTTTACCTGCTCTTCCATTCCAGGCTTATCTTGTCCATTGTAAATGGTATCAGGGTGTTCCCCCTTATCTCAGCTAGTACAGATATCCCATCTCTAGTCTACTGATCCATTTAACTTCCCAATCATACCCACTAAAAATGAGGCAAGTCACTTATCATAGAAATGTAGGACTGGAAGGGCGCTCGACAGGTCATCTAGTCCAGTCCCCTGCACCAAGGCAGGATTAATTATTATCTAAATCAGTGGTTCTCAAACTTTTTTACTGGTGACCCCTTTCACATAGCAAGCCTCTGAGCGTGACACCCCCCCCCCTTATAAATTAAAAACACTTTTTATATATATATTTATTTATTTATTTAACACCATTATAAATGCTGGAGGCAAAGCGGGGTCTGGGGTGTAGGATGACAGCTCGCAACCCCCCTTGTAATAACCCTGTGACCCTGAGGGGTCCCGATCCCCAGTTTAAGAACCCCTGATCTAAATCATCCCTGACAGATGTCTAACCTGTTACTGTCATGTCAAGTTACTTGTGTCTTGGTCAACATGAGACTGGCAACATGGGCAATCAGAAGCAGAAGTCAACATCTCAATAGTGAATGAGAGATGATAGGTCATGAAGGGCCTCGAAACTTAAGACAGGCAGCTTGTGCTTGATAGAGAGAGGGGAGCCAGTGGGGGGATTCAGAGAGGCGATGTGGTCAAAGAAATCTGCTAGGAAAATGATCTTTGCAGCAACATTCTGAATGGATGAGTGAGGCAAGATTGAGAAAAGGAAGCTGCTGTGATCAAGATGTGAGATGAGACAAGAATGTTTGTTGTGTGGATGCATATGAAAGGCCGTAAGTTAGAATGATTATGTGGGTGGTTTTACTCCAAGCATAATTCAATGTCCTGAAGAGCTAACGTCTTTCACCCAGTATTGCATTTACTTTGCTAGGAGAGCCGTGTCAGTAAGGCAGTAGAAGTGATGATTCAACATGTGGAAAACTTGAAACGCATGTATACAAAAGAGCATGCAGAACTTGAGGAGTTGAAACAGGTCTTGCTACAAAATGAAAGATGCTTTCACTCCTTTGGGGATCAAGGTAATTGTTAAACCTAACCATATTTTCATTTCTCTTCTAAGTAATTGTCATCAGTTGAGCCCTTTAGCTTGTATTTATAAAGCTGCTTGACCTCCTTGGATAGAGCATGTATAAAGCACCTCCTATCTCCTGTACAGTTATGATAATTGTAAATGCATAGCAGAAGAAAAGCTTATTGATAGTCCTCACTTAGATGATTACTGGAAACATTTAAGGGCAACTATAACTTCAGACTTGTAAGCAGACTTCCTGAATCTCTGAAAGCATCTCCCATTTCATCCCTGGAGTAGCAGGCCTCTTTGGAAGGTGCAACACAGGCTGGTGAACTCTTTTCTCTTGTATGCAGTAAATTACAAATTGGATGTTCATTTTAATGTGCATCTAGTCAATCTTCAGTGGCCTGAGTTCAGAAGTTCTAAGCTTTTGAGACTCCTATGGGAGTTGTAGGTGTTCGGTGCTCTGAAAATCAGAACACATTTCTTTATATTTAAAAGATCCTAGTCTTACGGGCACAACACAAAATTCCTTGCAGAAGCTCTTTAGCCAAGAAGGAAGGAGTAAAAATTGGCACGGAGGAGTACTCCATCTTGTAAAAACAGATCTAACTTGGTAAAGATAAAGTAGAACTTAACCAGACATTGTTAATGAGCCCAGCAGAAGTGACCCCTCCTGCATAGGGCATGCAGTAATGTGCAACGTTAACTAGCTTAGCTAGTTTGAGCTAATGGTTACAAGTCTCTAGCTATTTCCAGTATGTATGTATTTATTTATTGGCAATTTTTAAATTTCTTTTTAGAGAGACCAGTGGGTGAGAGATCAACTCACCCACCTTGTAGCCATGTTTGGCCCAGGATATTAGAGACACAACAACACTGATTTGTTTTTGACACTTGCTGCTTGGGTTTTTTCCCCAGAGGTGCTTAGCTGCTATAAACTTAAATAGGACCTGCAGGTGGTCAGACCATCTGGCTCTATTCCACAATGGCAATCTTTAAAAATCTGCTTACAATACCATTTCCTCTTTACAGATGAATCTACAAATAAAAAGCTTCCAAGTTCTCTCAACTTCAAGGTACCAATACCACTGAAATTATAAAAAATAAATGGAATGCTGTGTGCTCTTCAGAGCTGCCATGTACATGTACTCCACTGGGGCTTGACATCCACATGAAATCTGTATCTATTGGGCTCTTTGTAACTCCCTAAACTCACAAAAGCAAATCAACTTGATCAGACACGCTAACATTTCAATGGAAAAACATAACATTTCAATGTGCTCCTCTAAGTGGGTCCATAATCTCCCATGGTTTTGAGGCCTGTCTCTCTTGAGTTCAAAAACTATTGCTCTCATGGGGTCCTCAATAATGAAGGCTTCAAAATAGAGGTCTTTTACATACTGAGCCAAGAGATATCTAAAAGCAGTGTGGCAAGTTGGCAATAGGATCTGTAATTTGGGCTCCAGTAGGTTAACTTAAGACATCTTTAAATTTCAGAATTTGCAGTAGCAGATATACATGCATGTTGTTTCTAATCTAGAAAATAACCCGCATATTAATATGTAAAATTCCCCTTTTTAATTTTTTTTATTTTGTTGAAAGTATACTTAAAGTAATTACCCAGTAATAACCCCAGATGTAACTTTTTAGTGTTTATATGAACTAAACATCAACTTTTATAAATCTACGCCTCGAATTAACATGCCTAAAACTAGTGGTTAATCTAACCAATGCATAATAGTTGTTAATAGCTCTTCTTTGTGTAGCCAACATCATCCCTACGAAGAGTCAGTATTGCAGCATTGCCCAGGAATATTGGAAATGCTGGTATTGGTTTGCCGCTGGTAAGTAAGGGTTGTCAAAGGGTGACTGTTTTCATTCTCAAATTAGTCAGGTCTACTACATTTGCATTTTACCTTCCTTTACAGGCCCAATTATATGGAACTGATGGAAATGAAAGAAGTGACAAATTCAACAGACGATCAAGCAGTTGGTAAGGCTACTTGAGTTTTTTGTTTTTAAATGGGCCTTAATTTTTTCAACTTCACTATGGCTGTAATAAACCATCCCACTGGAGTAGCTTACTAAGCATCTTTTGGAAGTAATGCTGTAAATGTCTATGCTATGTAAACCTTAAAGTTCAGCTTTTACAGCCACACCTGAGTGTTCACATCAAGTGGCCTGATCTGCAAATTTAAGAGGTTCAGACCTCCCATGGACTTCAACTGCAAGGACATGAGAAAATTTGAAAATCTGGCACTTTATAATTTGTGCTTAAATATGAAACCTGGGAGTCAAACTTGAAAAATATTGGCCAAAATCTTCGTAGCCTACTCCAACATAAATGAGCATGCTCATTTATCTCTATCTTGCACTAAAGTTATTTTCTTTACTGTGATCTGAAAGCTTTAGTTGAAGTACTTATTTTCAAGTATGTACATTTGGCAGGGGCCGACTGGGATCAAAACAAAATGAGAGGCGTCCTTCACTGCGACGATTCATTAGCACGTATTCCTGGACAGAGTCTGAGGAAGAACAGTCTGAAACAAAGTAGGTCTAGATTACTTAATCTCCAAGGCTTTAAGGTGGGTTTGCTTCTTGCCCCTGACACCATGTTGCACGTCCAAGCTGCTATAAACTGGAATACTTACTCTATTTATAAAAATGTGCCTATTTATGTGTATTGATGAGTGCTTACCAGGAAAGTTAATTCTAACACTTACTTGCAGAACCAAACAGTCAGAACCACCAGTTGAAGAAATACAAGAAGACAAAGCAAGGAAGTTAAGTGTTACCGAAAGGGGGAAAAAGCCATCAAAATGGAGTCTAGGATCAGCGTAAGTTTCTCAGTTGAAAACATGAATTTCTGTAAGGGGAAGTGGTGGTCAGGTGGAGGACACTGGAAGAGGAAGCAGAGTGGTAATCTTGACTTTTTATTGATGCTTTATTTGAAAGGCGGACATTAAGCAATCTAATTAGCAGGTTAAAGCTCTACTTTTGGTACTAGTCAAGAACAGAACAACTGCTCTTACAAGCTCACAAATTCATCTTGAGATGTGATCCCTTGCAGTGTGGTGCTCTGCCTCAACACTGCCCTTGGAGATCAAAGCCTAAGGGCTTAACTAGTCCGGATAGCCCTGTCATTCTAAATTGACAGAGGAAGTCATTGGACTATACATTACATTAAACCCTCTTGTTGCAGAAAAAATGGCTGATATTTGCAATGCCTACTAGGAGATTTAGCCACACAATTTCCATTAACATGAATGGAATGTGTGAAGAAATCCCATATTTTGGCTTGGAAAACGCAGAGTTTTGTGCCTCTTCAGAGTTTTATATAAACATCTTTAGCATCTACTGCTGACCAGAGCCTGCATTCTAAACCCAGAATATAACATGCCACTGTAGCTGGCTATTAGAACAGTGCCTTCATTACATACAATTTATATTCTGGATTAGTAGTCAGACAATATGATATTTAAACCTTGAAGAAAAGCATGTCTGTCCTATGTTTATGGCTTCTCCACAGTTGCAACATAATGTCATCGTGGGCATCTCATCTGAAGACTTCCTTCTCCAAGGCTAACAAAACTCTCTGGATTTCTCTTACAATCATTGTACTCCTTGCTGCACTCACAAGCTTCCTCACAGGTCTGTCTCTCCAAAGACCTGCAGATGCTGCCCCTGTGGGAACTGGAAGTTCCTGGACATCACTACAACAACTGCTGTGGCCATATACTGAACTTCAACACAATGGACCACCACCAGTATAACACACAATCTGTATTTTAATTTGTAAAATTTTTTTTTCTGGACTTCCTGTGTGACTCAATTTGTGTTATATAAACTAGTGTAAACATAGCTCTCAAGTCTAGAATTACTTTAACTTTCTAATATGATTTGAGGTAGCATATTTAAAATCATTTATTTTGAAGCTTTTTAGACTATACTTAACTTTCAATGGTAAAACATTTTGAAGCACGATTTGGAAATACAACTTCCCCCTCTGACAATAGAAGACGATCTTCCCAAATGTCTGAATCCTGTTTAAGATTAGAACTTAAAAAAATAGCCATCTCTCCTTTTGAAGTTTGTAATAAATGGGTCTAAATGTGTAGTTACTAGAAAGTAAAGAATTTTATTCACAAAAACAACTTTTATGCATTTTTAGGCATTTAAAAAGCTGTTTTGATTTGCATGTGAAATGACAGACATCAAATGTAATTTTATTGACCGAGTTCTTGATGCTCAATAAAGTTAATTTAAAATACTGGCTTAAGAGTATGTTAACACTCTAGTAGCAATGAGCAGCTGAGATATAGCATCAATAAATAGGCAACTGGCTTTCTTTACTTTTTCAATTGCTTCTTCACTGGCAAAATCTTTGATCAGATGGTAGAGAGTAGAATGAAATTCAGTATTTTCTGCCAGATCTTCTGAGAAGGCTTCACTAGTTTCACTGATTCTGAGCCTTTGTGCTCGCTGACCATTAAACATGTAAAGGGACCAGTCTTCATCTTTAACAGCATCTGTTTTAAGGTGTTCGCTCACCTACAGCAGAACGGAAGAATAAATACTGTAACATACTATCACGCTTTCTATATAGATATAAAGTTAATATAGGGAGGAAGGTTGATAGGTTGGGATGCTCAGACCCAGGCTCCAGCTGAGACTCCTTGTGTAACTTTGGATCTAGCCCTAGGTGTCTTGATCAGAAGAGGTAAACTAGTGCCTGAGTCCAAAATTTAGATCCTCACAACCCCCACTCAGTTTCTACTGATTAAAATCCCCATAGCGCCAAATGTCAGTGGGCATGTGCACCACTGCTTCAGTCCTGCTGCTGAGTACGTGACTTAGTGAAATGTCTAGTCTGAGCTCTTGCATTTGTCTGTCGGGGGGCCCAATAGGCTAGATGGCCTCAGATGTGTCTCTATACAATGCTTACAGGATCCAGCCCTGCACAAAACAGCAGAATGTGGTGTTTTCTCCAATGCTTCATGGGTTACAGCACTTCCAGTAGGAGGTGGGAAACCTAGATTCAAGCCCCTTTCTCCCCTCTGCCCCCTCACTCCCAGAAAGAGGAGCATGGATGTGAAACCTGGGTCTTTTGCATCCTGGGTGAATGTGCTAATCACTGTTTTTTGGATGTCAGGGGCCACCACAATTCTTTGTCAGAGCTGGCTAACTAGGTTTAGGTACCTAATTCCAGAAGAGAGGCTGTAAATTCTAAGTGGTGACTGAACAGTCCCTTCCACCCTGCCTGAGGCACATACCCCTGTCCTCAGCATTTTGTATTGGATAATTTTAGATGGTTCCCCACTCAGCTTGTTGGCCCTGTTCTAGGTACCCAGGGCTCCCCCAGGAAGGCCAACAGGAATCTTGCATATGTAACTATTTGTCCCTACACATCTAACAGCTCTAAACACACTGAGTCAAGCAACTCAGATTCCAGGATTAGCATCTCATATGTGATAGTTACTATGAACATTGTAGCCTCCCTGTGATTGGACAGAAGATACCATAGCAATTCACTAATTCCTCTTGCGGATTCTTTGAAAGGTGGTGGTGGTTAAAGTTGTCCATTGTGAACTGAGCATTTATTTATCCTTCATCAAATGCAAGGAAAGGGTGGGAATATTGTACAGACTCATTTAATTGATAATACTGTTAAAATTATTTGCTTTAGAGCTCTAAATTTACTAATGGCACTTAGTATCTAGCAAGTGGAGTTACCAGCTGTTGTTTTGCACTGCAACACATCTTACAGAACAGAATTACTCAACCTTGACAAAAGGATACTGTGTATATTAGCCTGTAGGGGGGAGAGAGAGAGAGAGAGTGAGTGTGTGTGTGTGTGTGTGTGTGTGTGTGTGTGTGTGTGTGTCTCTGCTAGTTTCCTGCCTCATATGGGGGTAGGGGCAAATGTATGAACTAGAATAGCAAGGGGTTTATTATCTTATCTGCAGCCAGAGGCTGCAACTGAATCTGCCCTACATACCTGCCAAAAGAGCTCCTCTCTCTCCTAGCAGGGAACAGAAAATAAGTGAGGCAGGATCTCCCTTCTCTATGCCTTGAAAGAAGGGGATGTTAAAGATCTGACACATGAGGTCTGCCTGCAAGAGGAGAACACTGGGGGCTGCTCTGAGTGGAAGGCGAGCTCAGGTTACAGTTGGCCAACTAATAAAACCATCCGTATCTAATGGATAATAGAGGACTCTGACTCAGCCTACCTTTGAATGAAAATCCTTTTTGTACCCACCTATAGAGCTAGAGAAACTAGGTAGCCCTGGACTGTGCTAAACTTTCATAACTAACTGTTAGCTTGGTTATCTATGCCAGGTGACCTGTAAAGCAGAGTAATGGAAGACCCAAAGAGATGCCATCTCAGTAGCCAAATGACTGTTACTTAGCAAAGGCATGGGTGAGTACACCAGGGGCCAGCCCTTAGAGAATCAGTGTAGTACACTAAGTTTTGTAAAACTTCCGAAAGCAGCTAATTCTAAAGCTATTAAAACTGAAAAGCCAGAGCCCTGCTCTGAGAGAGGTCATGAGCTAGCTGTAGTTCAATGTTGCTTATCTAGTCTTATGTTACATTATTCTGGATTGTTTCTTTGGACTAAGTCTAAAAGAGCAACCTTAAAAACTACTTGATCTTGACCAGATGCCAGATTCCACTTGCTCCAACTGAAAGCAAAAGCAGATGCAACCAGCGCCATCTGTTGATAAGTTGTGACTTCTGCTAGTGGAGTCTGTAACATAAAGGGTACAAATCAGAAACCACGGATCCAACAAATCACCCCACTTTATGCTAGACTACCATACTGAAAAGCAAGCTGCGGTCAAAAGACAGTGGGCCAGATTCTGGTTCCTGCTCCTTTGGGTGGCTCTGCAAGCTGTCTTACCCAGGTACCCGTGGGTTCTGGATGGCGTAGATCCACCTTTGTGCCAAAAAATGTTGTGTACAAGTAGAAAATTGGATTTAAAAAAAAAAAATAGTTCATAGCTGTCTCACCTTCTTGTTCACGCAGACGTACTTGTAAGAGTAGTCTGATGGGAAAATGTTCACACCAGCCTTTTTCAAAGCAATGATCAGGTCAATTGGAGATGTCCATTTTCCAGTCAAGTGGGAAAGTTGTTCACTCCCATCCACAATTACTGAAGACAGCATACACTGATTACCCTGTTGCACAATGCAATAAAAACAAGTTTTTTTTCTCCAGATCCTAAGTCCCATAGTGACTACTCTATAAATACCTCTGATGCATACACATTCACCTGCACCCCATATCCCCAGCACTACCAACCAATAGCAGCCAGGACCAAAACTTCAAGTGGGTGTGTGTGCAGACAGGGAAGGAGGCATGTTTGCTATTGCCTAGCACTTAATCTGCTCCATTCACCCCTGCCTCTAGAATGTTCCCCGCCTCGAGAGTTTAAGCAGTGCGTCAGCACATTGCCACCATAGTGGATCTTAATTCAGCTGGCAGATACCTGTCAGATTTTGAGGGTAACTAGAAGGTAGATTTGTACGTGTAAGTCAGAGGAGGAGATTTTACACTGAGCAAGTAGCATTAAAATAGCAGATTAGTTGAAGAGCTGCCTTTTAAGACTCCTAAAATAAAGGGGGAAAGAGGGGTAATTTGTGGAGAGCTGTGCTTTGTAAGATGGCCCTGAATTTAACATGGGATGGTGGGAGCTGCAGCTTTCAAAATACATTAATTAGAACTCTGTTAGCAGTATGCTGCCTGCTGGGCAAAAACCTAGGCTAAAGCACCAGTTCTATTCCCTACCCTGCACCTTCCCAATTCCATGAGGGGGGGTCAATACACAAATATCCGCCTGCTTTCATCCTTATTAGGGCAGCCTGAACTCAAACATTAGCTCTGATAATGGCCTAAATAACCATTGCATGTTATTGGAGTTGCATGTATCAAGACATTTACTGTACCTTAATTTGCATTAGAACTTCTGCAAAGGCTGTAACAACCGTGAAAAGTAATTCATCTGTGCCATTAGGTCTCAGTTCCCATGACTGGTATGGCATATTGAGGTGAGCATCCTGAATTAGTGTGATTGTATAAAAAGCATCCATCTCAAAAGAGATTTGTTTCTCTTTCATTTTGTACTTTATGTCACTGATACCATCAGTTCGCCATTGTTTGCCTATATTGTATATTAAAAAAAAGAGAGGAAAAAATTGTTAGAGCTGCTGCTTTTGGTGGTGGTAGTACAATACATCACATTTACCTTGGGTCAAGTGGTATGCTGAGCTGTGGAGAATATTAGGCATATAATACAGACAATAGCTGTTAAGAGAAAGATAGTCTTACAATTGGTATCAAAATTTCTCCCTAGCCTAAAAATAACTTAAAACGAAAACATGGATGATGGTGCAGCTAACAGTCTGGGAGCTCATTTATAATAAATACTACTCTCGAACATTAATAGAGTCAAATTCCACTTTATTACATTAATGTAAACCAGGAATAACTTTACTGAAGTCCAGTGGGGTTACTTTGGATTAACACTGGTGTGAGAACAGTATTTGGCCTTTTACATATATATGATTTGAAAGTAGAATTTGGCTCAAGATAGATTTATATACTATAATCTAAATTTTCTAGCTGTAATTTTTCTCATAACCATCAATGAGTACTGTTACACTGTTGAGACTAAAATAAATGGCACAGAGGAACTGCAGCACTATTAATGGTAAGTTAGTTGTATTCAAGCAGGCTATTGTGATTTGGTTGTTTGCACATTGAGGAAAAAAACCGGTTAGTTACCTCTCATAACTGTTGTTCTTTGAGATGTGTTGCTCATGTCCATTCCATGTTAGGTGTGTGTGCTCGCCACATGCACGGATGCCGGACGTTTTTCCCCAGTGGTATTCATAGGGCCAGCTCTGGCACCCTCTGGAGTGGCGTGGGTATACGCAGGTGTAAGAGGTGCCATTGCCCCTCCTTCAGTTCCTTCTTGCTGGAACTCCGACAGAGGGCCAGGAGGGTGGGTCATGGAATGGACGTGAGCAACACATCTCAAAGAACAACAGTTACGAAAGGTAAGTAAAGGACAGTTACCTGTTCCGTAACTGGCGTTCTTCGAGATGTGTTGCTCCTGTCTATTCCACAGTAGGTGTGCGTGCTCGCCACGTGCACCGGTGCCGGAAGTTTTTCCCTTAGCAGGATCCATAGTGGGGGAGCACCGCTGCGACCCCTGGAGTGGCGCTGACATATCGCGCCATAAAGGGGGCTGCGTGCTCCCCCCACCCTCAGTTCCTTCTTGCCAGACAACTCCGACAGAGGGGAAGGAGGGTGGGATGTAGAATAGACAGGAGCAACACATCTCGAAGAACGCCAGTTACGGAACAGGTAACTGTCCTTTCTTCTTCGATTGCTCCTGTGTATTCCACAGTAGGTGATGTGACGGGTTGGATCACAGAAACCCCCTTGGGAGCTGTCACCTAATGTACCAAGACTACCTCTGCTCCTGTTTTCCCTGCCAGCTCAGGACTTCAGCACCCTGTCTTGCTGAGCCAGACACTCCCATCTGCTCCAACACAGACCCAGGGTCTGAATAACTTGCCCCAAAGCTGCAAGTTTACCTGAAAACAGCTCACAGAAGCGTGCTCGTCTTTAGCACTCAGATGCCCAACTCCCAATGGGGTCTAAACCTAATGAATCCGTTTTACCCTGTATAAAGCTTATACAGGGTAAACTCATAAATTGTTCGCCCTCTATAACACTGATAGAGAGATATGCACAGTTGTTTGCTCCCCCAGGTATTAATACATACTCTGAGTTAATTAATAAGGAAAAAAGTGATTTTATTAAATACAGAGAATAGGATTTAAGTGGTTCCAAGTAGTAACAGACCGAACAAAGTCACCAAGCAAAATAAAATAAAATGTGCAAATCTATGTCTAATCAAACTAAATACAGATAAGTTCCTCACCAGTTCCAGAATGCTCCCTTTTACAGGCTAATCTCCTTTTAGCCTGGGTCCAGCAATCACTCACATGCCCTGTAGTTACTGTCCTTTGTTCCAATTTCCTTCAAGTATACTGGGGGGGGGGTGGGGGGTGGAGAGGCTCCTTCCTTAGCCAGCTGAAGACAAAATGGAGGGGTCTCCCATGTGTTTAAGTAGACTCTCTCTTGTGGGTGTAGACCCCCCCCCATGCAAAGTCCAGCTCCAAGGTGGAGTTCTGGAGTCACCTGGGCAAGTCACATGTCCCTGCATGACTCAGTCTTTACAGGCCGAAGCCATTGTCCACATGGTATCTTGTATGTCTCCAGGAAGACTTCTTATGTGGATTGGAGCATTCCAAGATGCATTGTTCCCCAAGTGCTTCCTGATCAGGTACTTAACCTTGCAATTCCTTCCTAAAGAAACTGACCAAATGCCTCACAAAGCTTACTTAGAAACCAAGCAAGTATACAGCCCATATTCTTAACCTCAAGTAAAAATTATATATGTGTACAAATAGGATGAATAGATATAGTAGACCATAACCTTTATGGAGATATGTTACATGGCACAGGCAGCACAAAACATATTCCAGTTATGTCATACATATATTTATAAGCACCTCCCCCCATAAAGCCTTATGGGGTACACTGTCACAGGTGACTCCAAGCTATAGCTGACGGAGGTGGGTAGGAGTTCTAAATGATAACGGTTAAGGGTTACCCAGGCAGAGCACCGCCCTACCAAACCCGGCGTCGTCCCGTGCTTGGGAGATGATCGCATAGCGCGATGCAAAAGTATGGCCAGAGGACCATGTAGCAGCCCTGCAGATGTCCTAAATAGGGACATGAGCCACATAGGCCGCTGATGAGGCCTGGGCTCTTGTTGAATGCGCCTTAACAATAGGAGGCAGGGAAACCCCTGCCAGGTCGTAACAGGTGCGAATGCACGAGATGATCCAGCGGGAGATCCGCTGGGTGGAAACCGATTGCCCACTCACGCGCTCGGCCGTAGCAATGAAAAGCTGAAGGGATTTTCGGAATGGCCTTGTTCAATCTAAGTAAAAGGCCAGCACTCTACACACATCTACCATGTGTAGGCGTTGTTCCTCATTGGAGGAATGGGGCTTAGGACACAGGACTGGCAGGAAAATGTCCTGGTCCATATGAAACACTGAGACCACCTTCGGTAGGAAGGGCGGGTGCGGGGCAAAGCTGGCCCTTCCCCTTATGGAAGACAGTGCACGGGGAATCTGAGGTCAGCGCCCTAAGCTCCGAAACCCTGCGGGCTGAGGTGATAGCCACCAAAAACGCCACTTTCTCAGATAAGCGGGACCAGGATCAAGTGGCCAAGGGCTCAAAGGGAGGTCCCGTGAGGCGTGACAGCACCAGGTTCAGGTCCCAAGGAGGAACCGGGGGTCTAGCATAAGGGAACGCTCTGTCCAAACCCTTTAAAAATCTGGAAGTCATGTGGTGGGAGAACACTGACTGTCCTGCCACCGGAGGGTGGAAGGCCGAAATGGCCGCCAGGTGCACCCTGATCGAGGAGGGAGCCAGCCCTTGGGTCCTAAGGGACAGGAGGTAGTCCAGGACCAGCTGGAGCAGAGCGGACGCGGGGGAGGAGAACCGATACCACTTAGCCAGGTAGGCCCTCCGTGTGGACAGCTTCCCGCTTTCAAGCAGGACCCGTCTAACAGCCTAGGTACACCTCCCCTCCTCCGCATCTAGCCCCAGAGCAGCCATGCTGTCAGGTGGAGCAGGGCCAGGTTGGGATGGAGGAGACGACCTCCCTCCTGGGAGAGGAAGTCCGGGCGGAGCGGCAGCCTGCGCGGGGGGGCCACCAAGAGCTGCAGTAAGGTCCCGTACCAATGTTGACGGGCCCAATCCGGGGCTATCAGGATAATTCTCGCCCCGTCTGACTTCACCTTCTGTAGGACCCTGCCTAAGAGGGGGAAGGGTGGGAAGGCATACATCAGGGGCCCCAATCAATTGAGCAGGAACACGTCCGTCATGGCCCCTTCACCTTCTATCACCCTGGAGCAGAACCTGGGACACAAGCGGTTCTGGGCGGTGGCGAATAGGTCTACCTGGGGAGTACCCCATTGAAGGAAGATCCATTCTGCCACCTCCCTGTGCAGGGACCATTCGTGTTGTTGTGAGAACACCCTGCTCAGACGATCCGCGAGCGTGTTGCTCTCGCCGGGTAGGTGGAACGCTCGGAGGAGGATGTTGTGGGCTATACAGAACTCCCACAGGAGCTGGGCTTCCTGGCATAAGGCCTTGGAGCGCGTGCCCCCTTGCCTGTTGATGTAATACATTGCGGTGGTATTGTCCGTGAGGACTCTGACCACCTTCCCTTATAAGCGCTGGCAAAAGGCCAAGCACGCCAGGCACACTGCCCTGAGTTCCCTGACATTTATGTGCAGGGACAGTTCCTCGGGTGACCACATACCCTGGGTCCTGAAGTCCCCCACGTGGGCTCCCCAGCCCAGGTCCAAGGCATCCGACACTAGATCTAGTGACGGAGAGGGCTCTCGGAAGGGGATACCCCGGAGCATGTTGCTCGGGAGGGCCCACCATTGGAGGTCTGCAACAACCGTTGGCAGCACCGTGACAACCTTGTCCAGGCTGTCCCTGGCCTGGGAGTAGCGGGAGGCCAACCAGAATTGGAGGGGCCTCATCCGGAGCCTGGCATGTCGCACCACTGAGGTGCATGCTGCCATGTGGCCGAGGATTTGAAGGCACATCCGAGCCGTGGTTACCGGGAAGGCCGTGACCGAGTCGATGAGGCCTTTGAGCGCCTCGAACCTGTCCGTTGGAAGGGAGGCCGTGGCCGCCTGGGAATCCAGCAGCGCTCCTATGAATTCTATGCGCTGGACCGGAACTAACGTGGATTTCTCCTCATTTACCACTAGGCCTAGATTTGAGCAGGTGCGTAGCAGGAGGGTTATTTGCTGCTGCACCTGGGACCGGGACTTGCCCTTGAGCAGCCAATCATCCAGGTAGGGAAAGATCTGCAACCCTCTCCTCCTGAGGTGGGCCGCTACCACCGCCATACACTTCGTGAAGACCCTGGGGGCCGTCGAGAGGCCAAAGGGGAGGACCGTAAACTGGTAGTGGTCCTGGCCCACCAGGAAATGGAGGAAGCGCCTGTGACCCTCGAAAATATGGATGTGGAAGTACGCATCCTGGAGGTCCAGCGCTGCAAACCAATCCCCCGGGTCTAGGGAGGGAATAATAGAGGCTAGGGATACCATGCGGAATTTGCACCGAACCAAGAACTGGTTGAACTTCCGCAGATCGAGGATGGGCCAAAGCCCGCCCTTCGCCTTCGGGATGAGGAAATACCTGGAGTAAAACCCCTTGCCCCGGAATTCCCAAGGTACCCTCTCCACGGCTCTCAGGGAGAGCAGGCACTGTACCTCCTGATCTAGGAGGAGCACATGTTCCGGGTCCTCCGCCAACCCCCTGGCCGGAGGGCAACTGGGAGGGGGCGAAACAAACTGCAACCTGTACCCCAGGGATATAGTGTTGAGGACCCAGCGGTCCGTGGTAATATGGAACCATTGCAGACTGAAGGCAGGTAAACGATTGGCAAACCTGAACTTTATTAACTGGGGGGGGGGGGGGGGTTAACCTGGCAACAGGCCCCGTAACCCCCCGCAAGCAGTCAAAAACGCCGCTTCCCTGGCCTCCTGGCCTTAGAGGGCCCCGGATGAGGGGCCGAACGGGATTGGCGTTGTGACCGGCGCCTCTGCTCCCATTGCTTCTTAGGTGGGGACTCATATCTGCCCCGAGCCTGTGGAACAGAGGTGTGAGGCCTGGGCTTGTCCTTGGCCAGCAGGACGTACAGGCCCAGCGTCTGCAGGGTGGTACGGGAGTCTTTCATCCCGTGCAGATGCGTGTCTGTTTGATCTGCAAACAGGGGCCGACCATCGAATGGCAGGTCCTGCATGATCGACTGGGACGCAGCCAATAGTCCAGAGAGCGAAAGCCAGGACGCCCTTCTCATGGAGATCGCTGCGGCCATTGAACGAGCGGCCGTGTCTGCCGCATCGGAGGCCACCTGGAGCGCTGCTTTAGCCACCGCCGCACCTTCCTCAACTAGAGCCCGGAACTCCTTCCTGTCCTGCTCGTGAAGAGAAGGCTCAAATTTGGGCAGGGATCCCCAAAGGTTAAAGTCATATCTGCTCAAGAGTGCCTGATGGTTGGCCACTCTGAGCTGAAAGCTCGCAGATGAATAAACCTTTCTTCCAAAGGAATCCAGCCTGCGAGCGTCTTTGTCCTTGGGGGTGGGAGCGGGTTGGCCGTGTCTCTCCCGGTGGTTCACAGACTCCACCACTAGAGAGTTCGGAGTTGGGTGGGAGTAGAGGTACTCGTGCCCCTTTGTGGGCACAAAGTACTTCCGTTCGGGCTTTTTGGAGATAGGACCCAGGGATGCCGGGGTTTGCCAGAGGCCGGTAGTGATATTAGCCACCCCCTGATGGAGCGGGAGGGCCACATGTCCCGGCGTTGAGGAGGTAAGGACATTGAACAACGTGTCCGATGGTTCCTGCATCTCCTCGGCCTGGAGCTGGAGGTTCGATGCCACCCTCCTGAGTAGCTCCTGGTGGGCCTTGAAATCCTCCTGAGAAACCGGAGGAAGTGGAGCCACGGAGTCATCCGGTGCCGAGGAGGTCGGTGCCGCGGTGTTGTCTGCACCCGGCTGTACCGGTAGCTCGATGTCCTGACCCGGGGCTCGAGTCGGTGCTGGAGGGTCGGTGCCCACTGCCTCATCATGGTGCTGAGGCGGCGACGTCGGCTGGGCCTGGGATGCTCCCGCCACGGAGCGGGGTCCTGGCGGTGCCGGTGCCTGGGGCCACGGTGCCCACTGGCACCACTGTCCCTGCCAGTGAACGCCCTGGGACGCGAGGGGGCCCGGAAGGGCCGGCTGGTACTGCGGCACCGAGCGGCTCGATGAGGGGCGGCTAAGTTCCGAGGCGGAGGTCCGGGACGAGCGAACGGTGCCGTAGGAACGGCTGGATTGGTCCCGAACATGATGTGTCCGGCCCCTGGAGGAGGACAGGTAGGAGTCGGGAGTGCTGTTCCCGTAATCCCTCCGGCGCCCAAGACCACGACGCCTCGGTGCCTGGGACTCCCGTGACGAGCTCCGGGCGTAGCGCCTTCCACAGCGGGTGCCGGAGCGTGAACGGTGGTGCCGCCGCCGCCGAGACCTGTCCCTGCGGGCAAGGCTCGAAGAGAAGCGGCGCTGCCTCTTAGTGCCTTCCCTATGGTCTCCCGGAGTGGAGGAGGAAAGCTCGCTCGCAGACGACCCTGCTCACGGTGTGGAGGCGCACCATGGTCCGCGGCTCGGCCCTTCAACTTGGGATGGTGCCTCGACCTCGGAGACGTCCGGAGAAGGTTGATGGGCACTGAGCGAAGGCTTCCCACGGGATCGGGGGCCCACCTGGAGCAGCGCTCCCGGTACTGGAAGCGTCATGATGTCGCACGCGGCCTGAGCTGCCTCCGGTGTCGAAGGCATTCTCACCTCTGGTGAGGTGCGCGTGGACGGCACCGGACTATTCCGCTCCACCCGAGTCGGAGGTCTCAGTCCCGATGGGGATCGTGGGCTGCCCGGCGCGGGTCTAGCCTCACCCCATTCTTTCTCCCGGCGCCGCTGAGTCTTCCCTTGCTTCTTAGAAGGGGAACGGTGCCGGCTCGTCGATGGGGCCTCGCTGCGCACCGACAACGCGGTTCCGGCCGCGGAATCAGGATGGCGCGCCGGGGGCGCTTCGCTGCTCGCCGACGATGCGGTGCCCGGCGCGGGGTCGGCTCAACGCGCCGGTGCCGGGGCCAACGCCGACTCCATTAGGAGAGCTCGGAGTCGGATCTCACGTTCCTTCTTTGTTCGTGGCTTGAAGGAGCGGCAAATTTTACACTTCTCACTAATGTGAGCCTCGCCCAGACAGCGAAGACACTGAGTGTGTGGATCGCTTCTGGGCACAGAATTGCGACAAGAGTTGCACGACTTGAAGCCTGGGCCACGGGGCATGCCCCGAGCCCGGCACTAACAGAGAAAAGATCAACAAGTAACTTCAGTGAAAGCTGGATACCACTAAGGCTAGAAATGCTGCAGCAAAGCTGGAGCACAAAGTTCCGACTACCTTCAAGGAACCGAGGGTGGGGGGGAGCACGCAGCCCCCTTTATGGCGCGATATGTCGGTGCCACTCCAGGGGCGGCAGCGGTGCTCCCCCACTATGGATGCTGCTAAGGGAAAAACTTCCGGCACCGGTGCACGTGGCGAGCACGCACACCTACTGTGGAATAGACAGGAGCAATCACTCGAAGAAGAACCTTTTTTTTTTTTTCTTCGAGTAATTGCTCATGTCCATTCCATGTTAGGTGACTCACAAACAGTGCCTCTGGAGATGGGTCAGGAGCTCATGGATGCGTTGATTACAACATCGCTCTACCGGAGCCAGCGTCGTCTCAGGCCTGCTGGGTGATCGTATAATGGGTCGTGAAGGTATGGACAGATGACTATGTTGCGGCCCTGCAGATGTCCTGGATCAGAACATGAGCCAGGAAGCTGCTGACGATGCCTGTGCTCTTGTTGAATGAGCTGTTACTATCGGCGGCAGAGTAGAGAAGAAACACTGGTACAATTGCTTGCCAAAGCAAGAGGATGTTCCAGCACCATCACTGGCGGTAAGGAGGAACTGAAGGTGGGGGGAGGGCTGCCGGCGCCTCTTATAGCGCGTCACTCCAGAGGGTGCCAGAGCCAGCCCTACAGCTACCACTGCGGGGAAAACTTCTAGCACCGATGCATGTGGCGAGCACACACACCTAACATGGAATGGACATGAGCAAGCACTGGAAAAACAACATATTTACTACAACTGACCAAAAAACTTTGGACAAAACATTTTTTCACGGGGATTTACCAATTTATTGAAATCAAAACGTTCTGCAGACGCCGTTCAATTTTGATTAAGTTATCTCCAGAAACAAGGCAAATTCTGAAACCAGGACTTCCACAGTCTGGCACCCAGGGACGCCAGGATCTGCAGTGCCAGGACAGCATTCTAGGCAGACTGTCTCAGAGCTAGGATTCAATCCCCTTTCACAGAGAATTTTGGGCTTTTGTTTCTAATCAGAATGAAATTAAATACTGAAATATTGAAATCTTTCACAACATGAAATACCTTTCTCTGTCTTGCTCTAATATTTACACTATATGGGAGCTAAAACATGTAAACCCAAACAGTAAAGCAGAGATAATAGCCTATCATCGTTTTAGAAAGATTTTTTTAATGGAGCCAATTGCCAAGAGATATCATTGAATGAGGACTGAAACACTATGCAACATTTTCCTTACTTCTAAATAATTTACAGAATAAAGACTGTTTGAATAAGGGAGCAACAAAATCTTGAGTCTATTAGAAATTCTGCACCAATTGAATGTTAAGCTTTCAAAAATCAAAGGATAATGAACAGCGAAGGGCCCATACCAAACTCTGGATCTGAACTGGGACTTGCCAAAGTCTGAGTTCCAAATACTCCATGAACTTTGGAAAAATTAAAATCCAGATCTGAATTCTGGGACTTGTACTTAAGAAAGGTTTTTGGATTTAGCATGTGTGTGTAACAGCTGGCTGAAGACTTACTGTACCTGCAGAATCCCATCTGGCAACCATAGGTTCCTCAAAAAATATCACACTGTCAAGAAGTCTAAGAGTCACCCCTATACGTGGATATGTGGCATCTTCAGTTTCTTCTGATTCTGGAGGATACGGATATGTCTCCAATCCTACATCGAGTAACTTTGATGGGGAGGTGAAGAAAAGAGAAAATGTCAAATCAACAGCAATAGACTACTAAATTTTGTAATCCACTTTGGTCCTCTGTAGAGTTCAATAAAATACAATTTAAAGAGCTAAAAACTTTATATATCATTTGATAATTCTACACATCTGTGTAACTTTGCAAATTACACTTTGCTTCTTCTGCATCTTCCATCTGAGGATCTCAAAGGGCTTTCTACAAACACTGTACAGCCACAGAGAGGGGCGACAGCTATTACTCCAGCCCATATGTATGACATTCAAGTACTGCCTGCACTGGGGGCTGTATTGCAGCTCTACATGAAGGTGCTGGGTTAGGGATGGGGAGTTATATGTCTCAGTCCCCCAATGAACATATTTACTTGAGCTAAATGCAGTTTATGTAAATTATGCCTATTAATGAGATCAGCATCGCAAAAATCCTGTGATGCAGGTAAATGTGATCTCAAATTTTACAATTGGGGAAACTGAGGCATACTGCCCAAGGACCATAAAGTCTTCAGCAGAGCCTGGAATTAAACTCAAAGCTCTGTTATCACAATCATAGGCTGTAACACATCCTTCTGTTTATAAAATGAAGCAAGGACTTCCTTTTCCTTTAACCAACATCTTTAGGAGCATTTCCAAATGCAGTGATTTCAGGTGTCTGTGCTACCTCCATTTAACAGAACTGACTGTGTGAATACCTGTTCTGAATGCATACACATCCATTATATGGATACCACAGTTATATAAGAAAGTTTGCAGGTGCAACTGAGGAGCATGATGTGAAAACTCAGCTTTTAATCTGAGTGCACAGAAACTCAAAGGATAGAATAGGGTGACCAGATGTCCTGATTTTATCGGGACTGTCCCGATATTTGCTTATTTGTCCCACGTCCCGACCTACCTTCGATCGGGACGCAAATTTTTAATTTTTTTTTGCTCCGCTGCCAGCTTTTTTTTTTTTCTCCCCCCCCCCCCCCCCCCCCCCCCCGCATCCTGATATTTCACCTGTGTGATCTGGTCACCCTAGGATAGAACTGTTTGTTTATACTGTGTGAACTCTATATTGACAAATCTCCAGAACTGTGGCAACTCTTTCCAGGGTAATCAGAACTAAAAGAGATTCATTGGGTGCAATTTTGCTTCAGATCTTGACCTACTTCCACCATGGTCCAGCCTTTGATTTGTTTGGCTTGAGGTGGGAGCTTCAGTGCATCAATAAGGTACACTCCACCCACTGGTGTGAACTGGTGCAAATCAACTACATTTTCGCCAATTATCTCTTCTTCTTTTTCATCAGTGGCCACCTGCAGTGGTGCAACCTGAACTAAATAACAACCAAATATCATGTATTAATTCAATGTCTGAATAAAGTACCAAGATTTCAAATCCCAAATGCTTTTTGCACATACAGCATCTAAATATGTACTTAAATGGCTTTCTATGCTGCAATATCTCAGCGCCACCTTCTGGTGGTCTATGGATTTTTTAAAGGATTCACTGGAATGGATAAAACTAGACAGACAACAGAAATGAATAGAAGGCTTATTCGGGGCTGGACTTAGGTTTTGTGGGGCCTTAAATTAAGAACTGTAGGGCCCCCAATTATAATTAGGCATATGACTGATGTGCTAGCTATGGGCACTTGGAGTTCCTTTGTAACCAAGGCATTCTGTAGCTGCATAGACTATGACCACCAATGGATTTACTAATCCATACCTAATGATTACACCATCTTCTTAGGTTTTTAGTACTGAGATTTTAAAGAGAAGGGTGCATTTCTCCTACTACTAGGCTCTGATTCTGTAAGTGACTTCACAGGTCTGCTCAAGCAGATTCACCTACAGAATCAGGGTCTTAGGTATAATCTGTGCAACCTCAATAAACGCAATGGAGTTTCACAACAGTAAATGACAGTAGAATCTGGTCTGGAGTCAGTGAGGTTGCACTGGTTATAACTAACAGGGAGAACTTGGCCCCCATGTTATATAAAATCCTACAGGGGTTATGGAAAGTGCATGCTATAGGGGTTATGGAAAGTGCATGTAAGGCAAACATGGGGCCACAAACTGAAGTTAGAAAAGGAAGATGCTTAACACAGTAGGGGATGGAGGGTGATCAATCTGTGGAACAAAATTCTTTAGAGAATCTGAAATGGCGGAGTAGAGGAAATTCCTTACCAAAATTCTTAAGAGACTTTCTAATGGTGAATGTTTTTTAAAAGTTCTAAGCACTTAAAGAAAATAATATAGGATTTTCACCCTCTAACAATATCATGTAGGTGGCTGGATAGTCACTAGCAATGTTTAAAAATGCATGAAAAATATGTTATTAGGTATCATAATATAAGGAAAACAATTTATTATGAAGATCCACTTAAACTCTGTTCAATAAAACAAGATAAAGTAACTGTACTATAAAACTTACTAAATAAAAGACTATATTTTTTTTAAATGAGATAATCTCAACAAACTAAAAATATCAAGTGTGATGTGTTTCCAGGTCTTTTTTAGAGTGGGATGGGAAAGGGTTGCTAGTTTCATATGAATATTATATATGCTCACATATTGTATGTAGTTTTTATAGTATACTGTGCGCATACTACAATTTAAGCTCTCTGTATATTTAATAGTATAGTATACTAATCTATGTAGTAAATCCACTGTACTATTTACTACAACTTTGGCTTTCCTTTTTTTTTAATAAAAAAAAAAACCAAACTTCTTCTAAACAAAGCTAAATACTTGTTCTCCCAAGCTAAATCATTAAGATCTTTTTTAACACTTGTAAAAATATATTCAAATAGAGAAGACACTTTGCTCTTTACATACATTTTCACACTAAAACAATGAAGAAAAAATACCTTAAACAAATACAGATAATTATACCATTTCTCTGCACAGGTCTTAGTTAATATTAAGCCTGGGATTTTTAAAGGCACTTAAGAGAGCTAAATGCCTAAAATCCACTCCTTGGAAAAATCCCAGGGGAAATACCTACCTGGGTCATCCCTAGATGTGAACCTGAAAGTTTGGTTGCTGGGGCAGCACCCACAGGAAAGTTCTTTTAAACAGGTAAAAGGCTCTATTGCTCAGATAATCAATGCTGCACAACACACAGTCATCTTGTTTTAGAAGAAAGTGTAAGAAATAAATCAATGATTTTACTAAACTGAAGGATCTAAAAGTGTTGGAGAAACTGATGGCTGATTTATATGAGAAAGAAGACTACAATTAGCACTGGTCTCTTTCCTGGGATTATGGCCCTGATTCAGCTAAGCGCTTAAGCACCTTACTTAAGTACATGCTTAAGTAAGGAACTATTCCTGGGCTCCCAGTTATGCATAAGCTTCAATAACTGACAATCTCAGCCTAACTCAGAAACAAGGGAAGAACCTTATTCACCCAAGACAGATACCTAGCTAGAATCTCAAGACACCTGTATGTATTATATTTTATAAATATATAAAATGAGAGCAGTATCTACATCATCTTTGTTCTGTCCATGTAGGTGTCGGTGCTACATTATATACACTGGTTTTGTATGCTCCAATGTTTGCCTAGAGTAAAATCAGAAGTTTAAAAATGTATATAATTATGCAATACTGCATGTAAAATCTGAGTACCTCCTGAAATGGTGCTAACATTTTCTGATTTCTTCTCAGATTCCTCTTCTAGCTTCTCATTTTCACCAGGATCGATTTTAGTGCTGTCTTTGAAAGAGATGGCACTCTGTTTAAAAAACAAACATATAAAAACAAAATATAGTGTTTTTAGGTTACAGTGAGACAGGCGCAATTAAAAATAGTGTAGCTTCTTTGTGAAAATGAAAACGTTGGGAGAATGAGTAAGGTCCTCATTATGCAATGAGAGATGTGCATGAAGCTCACTGGAGGAATGGGGCCGTAGTGTAGGAATATCCAGAATGCATCATTATGGCACTCTTTTTTTTTTTTGCTAGCTGACAAAACCAGGTTTTGGTACAAAAACGTTGTCTCAGGCAGTCTGGATTTTGTCAAAGTCAGGTAATCAGCTTTACATATTAATATATAAATAGAGAGAACATGTTTGCATTTCTATAGCAGCTTCCCTCCAAAAATCCCAAAGCACTTTTCAAATATTAATGAATTCAGCCTCACAGCACTATGTGAAGTAAGTATTACTAGCCTCATTTTTCTGATGAGAAAGCTAATGCAGGGTGAAAGATAGGAACTGTAATAGAAACAAACATAGAATTCAGATATCCTGACTCTTTCGTTTGTACCTACCCTATGAGACTTTTCATACCTTTCATTGTTTTCCCTTTTCACAAAGTTATTGTAAGTTTTGGATTTTCATCCTAGATGTGCCCTCACCCCTGTTGTGCCAGACTTCTGAGAGGCATAGCAATGGGGAAAGTAGCCGGGCACTTATTGCATGTTTGTTCCCCCTCCGCTAGACGGAGCTAAAGTGCTTCTCCGTATACACTGTGTGAGGGAATTGTGGCAAGAGGCAGCCTCCAGACTTGTATGGAACGCCTGCCCTGCAGGGGAACAGAGAGAGACCATGCAGCAGCAGAAAGAGGGACAGAACTAGAGAAAAAAATGGGGGAAGGAAAAAACTAAGGGCAAACAGAACTATAAAAGATATCCCAGGTGAGCAACCAGCGTTCAGAGAAGCGGATCCCTGAGGCGGGAACAGGAAAAGAGTGAGGATTGGTGGAGAGGGAACAAGACTTGGAAGAGAGAGGAGAAGAGTGGGAAAAAGAACAAGGTAAGGAGCTTAACCAGGAATGAAAAGCAAAAGCCAGAAAAATACAGGAGAAAGACAATAAGACTTGACAATAAGAAAGACAAGTGAGATGTGTCATGGTATAAAAGTAGGGTTGCCAACCCTCCAGGATTGTCCTGGACTCTCCAGGAATTAAAGATTAATCTTTAATTAAAGATTATGTCATGTGATGAAACCTCCAGGAATACTACCAACCAAAATTGGCAACCCTATGTAAAGGAAGCAGGGAGTGGGGATGACCTGCCTCAGGCACTGCTCTGCAGCAAATGTGGTAGAGGGAGACACAACAAGGCCAGGAACCACTGCTGTAAATATATGTTAATAAGATGTAAAAATGGTAGTTTACAGTTATTTACCTAGAAAGTTTGGCAGCAGAATCAGAGTAATTTAGAACTGCCTGTTAACCTACAAGCCATAGAAGCTAATAAGAGTAAAAAAAGCCATTGTACAACTATGGGATATCACTTGGAAGAGATTCAGATTGATAGAGATGGTATTTTGCCAGCCCTCTAGTGGAAAAACCATCAACATACAGAGACTAAACAACCACAACACCAGAGTAAAGACCCATTCCATTCTAAAACCTACTTTGCACCCCTTCAGACTGTCCTGACAGTGTTGGACTCCTGTGTGTGGTTTGTGGGACACTGAATTTTCATGTGCTGCAATATATATACTGCTTACTGTATTTTTCACTCCATGCATCTGATGAAGTGGGTTTTAGCCCACGAAAGCTTATGTCCAAATAAATTTGTTAGTCTCTAAGGTGCCACAAGGACTCCTCGTTGTTTTTGCTGATACAGACTAATACGGCTACCACTCTGAAAACTGAATTTTCTGTAAACAGAATCAGTTCATTCTAATATACTTATTAACATTTTTGAATGACCCTCTTACAGTGATGTCTTACAATTGTATCTGGTATTATCCATGCCCTGATCCCACTCCCATCCACAACAATCACAAATCTTCATTCCTACTACAACTTTCCATCAAAACAGTCATTTCTACTCTCCGATTGCTGGTCTTTCTTTTCTCCTTCCCCTATCTCTCAAGATCCATGGCAGTCCAGCAGGTGTAGCAATCTGTGTGCTGTGCCCTAAGCTGAGGATGGTTACTTCAAATTCCTAAGAATTTGGACTTTCCCTCACTTGTGGTCTACAATGGATGGTGCAGCTAGATAGCCCCCAAATTTGTAAGATTGCAATTTGTTCATCTCACACCTTGTGTGGCTTCAGAGCTTGCCAGTCTTGGTAAACCCAGCAGATCTCAAAAGGTAGGTGGTTGAGAAGATAACCAGAAATGAGAGGGACTATAGGGAAGGGTGTGACTGCAAGGAAGGGAGAAGGCTTAGGATACTTTGGATAGTTTCAAGGAACAAGCCATGGCCTACTGGAGTGGGCAGAAGAAGATTGGTTATACAAAAGTCTTCGTGGAATTGACTCAAAAGGTTCAGTGTTTTTGGTATCTCACCCTACATCCTGCCACAGCAGTTAAGATTGACTGAGATACTCTTGCTGTCAGGTCCTTGATTTGAATTCTGCAGGACTGCCGCAGAGCCTTCTCCAGTTGAGAATCACTGGCTTTGTCATGTTCTAGTCTTGGTGGTCTGCCTGAGCTTGGGTTTGGTGATCTTCAGGGTACGATGTATTTTTTATGTGATGTGGCATGTAGCTGATTTAGTTTAGTCTTGTTTTTTTGTTTAGTTGGTGGTGGCAACAGTGCTTATGGATAGCTTTGTCACCTATGGAGCTAAATTCTATATGGTGCAAATAACAACAGAATTTGGCTCTATCTGGTTTTAGTTTTTGTATCTAAGTGCTTAGAGACTACAGTTTAAAAGTGTTTTAAAAATTCACTATAGGACAAATCTTGAGATATTTAGCTCTTACTTTGTCCTCCTCGAGGAAAACTCCCGTTGACGTCAAGAAGAACTTCACTTGGATAAAACTTGAGTTAAGATCTCAGGATCTGCTCCCTTACCTTTTCAGGGTACTGAACCGCTAGTACTTTTTGAGGTAGGCCCATTTTTAGTTATAAGGAACTCAACTGCAAGACCTTCTCCAAAAAGGAGGAATTCTTTTATAAGGAGAATGAACATTTTAAGGACTTTTTTTTGTTTTCTAAGGCACAAGGGAGACATGTAAAGATCTGTTAAGATGCTAATACTATGCAGCTAGGCATTAACTGACAGTACTGTCCATGCTGTACCTTTTACATCTTTCTTACCTTTCTTCCATCAGATTCCTTTTCAATTACCAGGTTGCTGTCTTCCCCACTCTTTTGTTCCTCTTCTTTTTCTTCTTTCATATCATAAAGCACAGTTAATTCTGGTTTGCTTTCTGGGGCTTGCACCTTTAAATGCAGATTGGGAATGAGTTGTAGTGGGGAAATATGATCATAATGAGTGTGCAAGATGCGGACAGCAACATCACTTGTGGCCACTGTCTTTGGAAGATCAAATCCATTTTCTGCATCACAAAACATATGATTTTTAAATCTGTAAACAGAGAATTAAAACAAAAGAATTCTCTAGTAAAGTCAGTATAATTATTTGTACATCACACTTCAATATTCCAGTACATTTATCACAGTAATACAGGCACCTATGTTGCCTTTTACCATATGTCACAGTTTGGGGAACAAATCTGGTTAGATGGTCATCACATGCTCACCCAGCACCGAGAGCTGCCACCAGCCCCTCCAAGATAGCTAAAACAGAATTAAAAGAATTAAGCTCTGCATGCAGTTAAGGATCATGGCCAGGCAGAGAAGGGGAGGAGTCAGCTGTTCTATATAGCATCCTCATAGGTAAATTAGACTCATTTATTAGGCACATTTCTGCATAGGTTAATGCAGCTGCTGTCTGTATTAAGTCCCTCTCCACGGTTTCCACAAACAAGCTGAGGAGGCACTTAAGGTAAAGAGAGTCAAGCTAGGAGAACAAGCACATCACCTGCCTCTGTGCCACCGTAGGAAATGGGCTAGAAGGCAGACAGAAGGAGATCAATTCTGTGTCAAATCAGATACCCAAGAACTTGGGCCTTTTCCCCCCATGGATCTTTGGCCTGCCATAGTATGACTGGAGGTCCCATTTCTGACCAAGCAGACAGAGATCTGTTCAAATGAGAACTCTCCTTCTGCCCATTTTAATACAAGAAGATATTGGCTAGAATTATAAAATCTTCCACACATAAACCTCCATGTTTTGCTTAGGAACACTAGGTGAGATTCTGTGCTGTGCTTTAAAAGGTGCAGCATATTCTGTGCCCAATCAAAGGATGCTAACGTAACATCAAGCCACTTTTACGCTCTCCTGATTCAAGGCTCCTTTGCCGCACATAGAATAATTTAAACAGTTCTGGGGGGGAGGGGCACAAGTTACAGAAGCCTCCCTAGGCTGCCCTATAGGTTGCAGTGCTGTCCTAACACTCCAGAGTGCTGTAGCCCTGCCCCAACATAGCCATCCTACCCTGAGCAGACCCCCTACTCTAGGGCTTGCGAGGGAGTCCTCAGCAGGCAGTTTTACAGCTGTCTTCCACAATTCCAGTGTTTGGCACACTCCCCTCTCCCTCCAGGCAGATGAGGGCCACTTGTGGAGTGAAGTGCTACTCAACATGAATAAGGGTTGTCAGAAACTGGCCCTGAGTCTTTATTCCATAGAGATGTACAAAGATAGAGCTAATTTGAAATAAGTTCACTTTTGTACTGTACCTTGCATTCTTCTTGAGGTTTCCCCAAATACAGAAAGTGATATTTTTATCTTTTATGACCACATCCATATTTCCACTGTCAGAATCTGCGAAAGTACTAGCCTTCTGCAAAAAACAAATCAGCATATTACTCTAAATTAAACTAGGATGGAGTTGATGTACTTGACACTGATGAAAGAACTGCTATTGTCTTTGCACTAAGAACGATTAAAAAGTTGAGCAAATCATAAATTCTTAGGATAACATCTGAATTAAGTAAAATCTACATGTGATAATTTGTAACGGCCTAAACGAGATTTAAAACTATAAAACTTTCTTCACTGTGATCACTAGCTAAAATGTTAAAAACAGTCATTGATTACTGTATAATTTAATTCAGTGAATTAACTGATCACATTTATGACATATTTCTTATCTGCCCTAGAAAGACAGAGTCTTCCCCATGTTCTCTCTAAGTGGGGACTTGCCCCTATAATGGTCAGTCCTTGCACTTCTGTACAAAGGCCCAGAAAACCCACTTGTTCAGTGATACACTCTAGTTACAATGGCCACACATTATCCTTTGTTTAGGTGCATGGCATTGTATTACAGCCACTCAATGCCTTTAGTCTGTAAATTCCAGGTAGTCAGGGATTCTCTCTTTTATCTGGTACACTTGAGCTGTGATAAAGTCTTGTGCACAACTACCAGAATTACATAAATCAAATAATAATAATCCAGTATCTATAAGGCACCCATTATTGTGGTATCTGGCTGCACTTCATATGAGTACCAACAACAACTTCTCAAAATTGGGGAGAGTATATTTTGATGCCAATTTGTCCTCCTTTCTGGCAGCTTCTCGCATAGATATCGTCACATATTTTTCTATGCTGCTGCTTATGCATAAAACACCCTATGTGTAATGATCCCCTTCCTTCAAATCTATTTAAGTAACCTTAGAGCTAGCATTTTATATTTATTGAAGATTCTCCAAAATTATAAAATGTAAAGGGACCCTGGGACAAACTGGTAAGCGATAGGTTAATTTGACTTCAGCTGTGTTAGCTTACAAATCTGCTTTCTCCACCAAGGACAAGAGCTGGGAGTAAGGCAGTTGTACACTCAGGAATGTCAGAGGCAGCTATTTTTTTTGAAAACCCCTTTTCATAACGTTATCTCAGAGCAAGGCAAAATTCTATTACACCCTGACAACCAGTAACAGGATAACAAGGCTGTTTGTTGAAGAGCCATTGTCCATTCTGTCTCCCACAGAAACAAACACATAATAATCTACAATTTTTAAAGATACAGTTCATCACAGAATATACAAATAAGGTATTAACATTAAAATATCAGCGAGAAATAGAAGGAAGCAGCACATTTTGATATGTATATTCAGACAGTGCAAGGATAAGGTGAAAGCTGAGCTGTGGCCATCAAGATTGTAAATCGAAGATCAAAGGAAGAGCTAACTGTAACCTGAAAGGTTTCAGAGTGGTAGCCATGTTAGTCTGTATCAGCAAAAAGAACGAGGAGTACTTGTGGCACCTTAGAGACTAACAAATTTATTTGGGCATAAGCTTTTGTGGGCTAAAACCCCCTTCATCAGATGCATGCAGTGGAAAATACAGTAGGAAGATATATATCAGATATACAGAGAACATGAAAAAATGGGGGTTGGAGAACACTTCAACCTCCCTGGACACGCAATTACAGACCTAATCACAATTCTTCAACAAAAAAACTTCAAAAACAGACTCCAACAAGAAACTGCAGAACTGGAATTAATTTACAAACTGGACACCATTAAATTAGGCTTGAATAAAGACTGGGAGTGGATGGGTCATTACACAAACTAAAAACTATTTCCACATGCTAATTTTTCCCCTACTGTTACTCACATCTTCTTGTCAACTGTTTGAAATGGGCCATCCTGATTATCACTACAAAAGTTTTTTTTCTCCTACTGATAATATCCCACCTTAATTGATTAGTCTTGTTAGAGTTGGTATGGCAACCCCCATTTTCCCTCTGTATATATATATATCTTCCTTCTGTATTTCCACTGCATGCATCTGATGAGGTGGGTTTTAGCCTATGAAAGCTTATGCCCAAATAAATTTGTTAGTCTCTAAGGTGCCACAAGTACTCTTCGTTCTTGTAACCTGAAAGATGACCACTATACTATCAAAGAAGTGTTCTGTCTTTAGACATTCTGTGTTCAGATACAAAAGGAGCAACATCTAGAGAGAAAGTAACATGAGGGATGCCAAGATGGGAAACTGAGAAGTTCTTTCATAAGAGCAACTCACATAAGGCTGGGAATTGCTAGTTCAGCAGTCCAGTGTCTGTCTGGATACCCTACTACAGTGTTAGAGAAAGCCATATCTGAATTTAGAGAAGATTATACAAACAGTTTTGGAAGTTCATTTATTCCTGTTGGTACCATTGGACCAAATGGCACCAGGAACCAGACCCTGGCAGAGAACCAAACTGAGGTTCAAAGGAGAAAACAAGTTGACAGCTCCCTGTATATACACAAATCATCTACATCTTTCACCATTGAATCCTGACAACCAACATCCATCAAATGCTGAATCTTAAGACAGACTAAGTATTTGCATCCTCACACTCATTTTAAGTAGTATACTTACCTGTATTAAAATACATAGCTTCCACATCTAATCTCCAAATGAGAAACTTAGACAACTTCTGAACACTGTCACTGGTGATGAAACCTGACACTACACCCTCTGTTGTTCTTATTGCAAAGTGACAGACATTCATTAAATTTCATATAATAACTATAAAGATGACACTGGTTAACAAATTTGATTCATTTTAAGTATTTTTTTTACCATTTAAGTTTTTTTTAGTTAGTTAACAGAAACTTTTAACTTTTAAGTCTGTTAACTTCAAATTATTAAACCAAATTACTACTAGTCACAACTGACTTTTTAATTGAATGCACAGTGTGACAATTCCAGTAAATGATATCTGGTTGATTTTCTCAGTGTTTTTATGCCCTAAATTGTATTTTACATTTGCTCCTCTGATTTCTTGCTGTTTCACTTGCAGTAATAATGTCCAGAATCTAGTTTACCATATGCAGTGCTCTTACTCCTTGGCCTTGAATTATTTTGGCTAAACAATACTAATTAAGGGGGGTTTACTGAAGGAGAATCAGCCTTCTGATATGTTACTAAAAGTTTAAGACTTTGCATAACTCAACTTTCAAGTAACCCCTAGCTCCTACAAGATTCTGTGTATCTCATTGTGGCATAGTATAAAGTGGTGACCTTTTAGAATTCAAGTTAAGCTACAAGATTCTATACGACAGTAAATCTAGGTGTGACTTACTGTTAGCCCCAAATGTGCCTGTTTGTATGAACAGCTTGTTCATTTGTAGGAAGACTGTGCCAAGGATGTAGTAATAATTGGTTAAGTTTGGAGAGTGTTTTCTGAAACTAGATCATCTGTATTTAGAAGTTCCCTGCGTGTGTCCAGGAAGAAAGAGCAGTGAGAGGAATTAGTAAGGTATGAAAGAACAGAATTTCCAGAGATAAGGTCAAGCATAATAGCCAGTTCAAAGTAAACAAATACTCAAAGTCAAGTAGGAAAATCAGGTATTAAAATGGCAGAAGTAGATTACTGACTGAAATAAGCAAACAGAAACTGTAGAAAGTTAAGTCAAGCAGCTAGAGGTGTTGCAGATTAAGAATACACAGCTCATTACATAGACAGACAAGGTCAATGAGCAAATAAGACCACTACAGATGCTCAGAACCACTGTGAAAGGAAACCAAGCTCAAAATATATATAATGTTGTCGTGCAAAAATTCATATCTTCCATTGTTGTTTGCAGTGTTGTTGTAGCTGTGTTGGTCCCAGGATAGTAGAGAGACAAAGACCAACTTCTGTTGACAACAGAGACAAGCTTTCGAGCTTACACAGAGCTCTTCTTCAGGTTATTAATTAATATCAGTTCAGAAACAGCTTCATCTTCAGTTAACCATTAGCAAAATATATAAGTGAAAGGTAATGGAGCTGGAAGAGGAGCTTAACAGGGCAACAAATATTATAGAAAGCAACAGAGGGTCCTGTGGCACCTTTAAGACTAACAGATGTCTTGGAGCATAAGCTTTCGTGGGTGAATGCCCACTTCGTCAGACGCATGTGTCTGACAAAGTGGGCATTCACCCACAAAAGCTTATGCTCCAATACATCTGTTAGTCTTAAAGGTGCCACAGGACCCTCTGTTGCTTTTTACAGATCCAGACTAACACGGCTACCCCTCTGATACTAAATATTATAGAGAAAAAAATGAGATCGTGTCAGAAGCAAAACCTTCTATGAGCAGCTGAGACAAATGCGTCTTGCTCAGAACAGACATAATCCTGATGATGAAAGATTTTAAGAGGAGCTTTTTGAGTTTACTTGACAACTTAAGGGATGATATTAAGTATTATTTGTTTATCGAGATACCATGCTTTTGGCTAACACACATAGCGAATGGATTCTGGTCTACTAAGCCATACTCAAAAAGTAACGAAGACCGGGCAGTTGCATACTATACTTCTGCTGCAGAGACCATTGATGTACTTGTCAAACTGAAAATGGAGTGGGGAGAACAGCCACAGTCTTCACCCTTATTCCAGTGCAATGGACAGGGACAGGAATTAAAGCAGAAAAATAGCTATGAGAATATAATTTTTTCCCCTGACACCATTAAAGGAACTACCAGAGAGGCTATAAAGATGAGTCCCAGAGAAGATGTGGGAACTGAAGACCATGAATTCAACATTGAGTTTCATGCCTACTTATTAATGTAATGAATAATTATTAATATTAGCCTCATATGTATTTGACAGATTTTAATGTGTTTAATTGATTTTGGAGAATTGTGGTGAGAGATCACCTTACACAAATGATAGCTGAATGTGGAAAATAGTTTGGCATATGTGTTAAGCAAACTTAAAAAGGCAAGGCTTAATGTAACTTGAACTGTGTTCACTAAAAATTCCTTTCCCAGTAGTTCAGTGTGAGACAGAAATACCCTGCAGCATCAGAAAAAGCTATTTGAACTAGAGATTCCAGACACCTTTGGCTGATGCCTACCAATCCCTGCCAGTACAAGTGACCAGACCAGAGGGGAAGCTGAACTGGACCTTGATGATACCAAGTAACAAAATCTTGAAAGCGAAATCTTTTTCTCAGATGAGTAGTCACATTGAAGTCAATGGAACTACTTAGATCAGTAAAGCAAACAGCAGTTTATTTTGTTGGAGGTGTGTGCGCACCACATGCACAGTCATCAGAAAGTTTTTCCCCTAGCAGCAACCGTTGGGTCGGCTGTGGAGCCCCCTGGAGTGGCGCCTTCATGGCACTCAATACATGACCCTGCCGACCTGGCGTCTCCTCAGTTCCTTCTTGCCGGTTACTCCGACAGAGGGGAAGGCGGGAGGGTTTGGAATGGATGAGCAACATAACTCAAAGAACAACAGTTACAAGAAGGGGAGTAACCATTTTTTCTTCTTTGAGTGCTTGCTCATATCGATTCCAATTAGGTGACTCCCAAGCCTTACCTAGGCAGTGGGGTCAGAGTTATGGAATTGCTAATTGGAGCACCGTTCTGCCGAAAGCCGCATCATCTCTGGCATGCTAGATGATGGCGTAATGAGAGGTGAACGTGTGCACTGAGGACCAAGTTGCTGCCCTGCAGATTTCTTGTACTGGGACTTGGGCTAGGAATGCCGTTGATTTGGCCTGAGCCCTTGTGGAGTGTGCTGTAAGACCCGGGGCTGGTATTTTGGCCAGCTCATAGCACATGCGGATGCATGACGTGATCCAGGAAGATATCTTTTGAGATGAGATCGGGAGCCCTTTTATCCAGCCTGTCACCACTATGAATAACTGGTTTGACTTCCTGCACTCGACGTAGAAGGCTAGTGCTCGCCGACCATCCAGAGAGTGCAGTCTCTGCTCACGGCAACTGGCATGAGGCTTAGGATAAAAAACAGGCAGGAAAATGTCTTGACTACTGTGGATGTGTGACACAACTTTAGGAAGAAAGGCCGGGTGGGGCCAGAGTTGCACCTTATATCCCTGTGAAAAAACATATAGGGTAGGTCAGGGGTAAGGGCCATTAACTCAGAAACCCTCCTTGCTGATGTAATGGTGACCAGAAAGGCTACCTTCCATGACAGATAGAGAAGGGAGCAAGTTGCCAGTGGTTCAAATGGGAGCCCCCATTAGCCTGGAAAGAACTAGGTTAAGGTCCCATGAGGGAACAGACTGTCTAATCTGGGGATGAAGCCATTCCAGACCCTTGAGGAACCGGCCAACCATAGGATTGGCAAAGACATAGCGTCCAGACACTCCTGGGTGGAAAGCCGAGATAGCAGTGAGATGTATCTTTATGGATGACGCTGCCAGGCCTTACTGTTTCAGGTGCAGAAGGAACTCTAAGATGAGAGGTACAGGTGCTGGAAGAGGGAGTGTATGATGCTGGTCACACCAACAAGTAAACCTTTTCCACTTTGCCAGATACATGGCTCTAGTGGAGGGCTTCCTGCTGCCGAGTAGGACCTCCCTTACCTGTTCCTAGCACAGAAGCTCCATGGGGTTTAGCCATGAAGATTCCAGGCTATGAGGTGGAGGAACTACAGGTCAGGATGATGAAGACGACTGTGGTCCTGAGTGATTGGGGCGTCAACATGATCGGGGAGGAGAGGCAACGTGATCGGGGCGTCCACCGATAGTTCCAGTACTGTGGTGTACCAGTGTTGTTGAGGCCACACTGGTGCCACCAGAATTATCTCTGTCCTGTCCCTGCAGACCTTGAGGGATAAAGCATTGCCGGTTTGCCTCGAGACAGTGCCGCATGTTGTGGCACCGGAGGCTTGGTGCGAAGGACCGGGGACCACGGCGCCATCATGGCGATGAGGTCCCTCGCGGCCTCAAAGGTGTCCGGGGTGGATGGTAGTTCCACATCCTCAATGACCTGGCTCAGGGAGTCCAATGGCACCTGATTCGATGGTCCCCCTTGCGAGGCTGAAATCGACGGTGCCAGCTCCAAAGTTTTTGGCACTGGGTGCTCCTCCCTGGGACATGCCCCACTGGCCGGCTCCGAAGGGGTGGGTCTCAGAGTCGGAGATCCACTCCTCCCCTGCTTCCAGTGACACTTCTGCACCGGGGAATGGGACCGGTGCTGGGTCGATCTCACTGGTTTCAGTGCCAGGGAGCGGTGGTGCCACAAGTCTCTTCCAGAGTCCTTCCGCGGTGCCACTTCTACCACTGCTACTGGGGCACTGTGCACCGATAAGCTCAGTGCCGCATCTTGCCGCACCAATGTGGGTTGCGGTCTAAGTGCCGCCTCCATAAGGAGCTGCTTGAGGCGAAAGTCCCACTCCTTTTTTGTTCTGTGGCGAAACCCTTTACAAATCCTGCACTTGTCTGCTTGGTGTGCTTCTCCCACACACTTTAAGCAAGTGTCGTGGGGGTCGCCCGTTGGCATGGGCTTGTTGCAGGACTTGAAGGGTTTGAACCCTTGGGACTTAGGCATACCTCAAGTCTGCAAGGGGGAACGCGGTCAGGATGGATGGGAAACCCTCCACTCCCAACAGCTATCTGCTGTAACAACAGAAAACCACTTAAACTAAACTTAACTAGACTAGGAATAACTCTAAAATAAACTAAACTGAAAGGCTAGGGAAAACGAGGAGAGCTTGCTAAGCAAGTTACCGCAGTTCCAACGACTGTCACTGGCGGTAAGAAGGAACTGAAGAGGTGCTGGGTCGGCAGGGCCATATATAGAGTGCCATGGAGGTGCCAATCCAGGGGGCTCCACAGCAGACCCAAAGGGTGCTGCTAAGGGAAAAACTTTCCGATGACTGTGCATGCGGCGCGCACACATCTAATTGGAATTAATATGAGCAATCACTCAAAGAAGAATACCTAGGTTCCGTAGCTGAGCTTGAGCTTCTGAACCCTGACACTGAAACTAATAGTTGACGCTAAACAATCTACAGTTCCTATGCCAGATTGGTAGATGTTTCATATTTAATGTAAAACTAACTACTATGAATAAGCGATTGCTTATCATTAATCTAATTTGTTAGCAGAGCTGAGCAATAATGGAAAAAATATTTCTTTGAATCTGAAAGTGAATTTTGATTTGAGCAAGTCTGCAACATGCTTGCTCAAATCAAAATTTGATTTGAAATTTAATTTTGGGGTCTCTTTCCTGAAACATTTCAGTGCTGAAATGAATGTTACTAGTGACGATACCATTGAAAATGAAATTTTAGATTGAATACTTCATATTAACCAAAAGGGAATTTCTAATTGCATAGCTGATTATAAAAATTACAGTTCACCCTGTGTTGATTAGTTATATAAATCAAGTGATTTTTTTTCTGCTCCCTAACTGGCTGACTTCTGTAATTAATCACGGTCCCAATCATACAATCAGATATGCAAAGGCAGACCCACGTGACTATACAGCATCACATTAGAGTCAATGGATGTCTGCACAGGTGCAAGAGTCCACATGTGTGGACCTTAGCTCAGCATTGGGGTGCAAAACACCATTAATTGTGAACTGCAAATATTACAGTTGAAGATACAATGAGAAGTCTGCTCTGTATCTGTTAGATATGTTCTTTATAGTGCACAGTATATATTTGATTCTAGTACTCACTACTCAAACAATCTGCAGGCCACGAACTATTTGCTAAAATAATTAATGAATAATATTGAACGATGAATAAATTAGAGAATTTCATGAAGTTTGTGGACAATGCACAAAACAAAAAAATAAAAAAGGCAAAATTAGTCAAATAAAAGTATTCGTTGTGAATTATTCACTCATTCT